GTCCCTGTTCTTATTGTTTCTTCTACCTGTTGAGGTCCTGCTCTCCCACAGTTGTGGTCTGCAGTGAGGACTATCATTTAGGAGTAACTAGATAGAGGAGGGAGTAAAGAGGAAAAGGAGGTGGAAAAAGGCAGATAGATACTAAATGAACAAGATAGCTACCCTTCAAGGGGTAAAAGCAGGGCAACAGTTAAAAGGTGGTCACTGTGAGTACTGGCCTCCTGTACATATTATATGCATGTACCTTAAGGGAAATAGACTTTTTAAAAAATAGTTATACATACAAAGTTTTATCACCATAAAACTGAAAGGCAACAAATGAAGCTAAAAAGAAAATCCATACGGGGTGCTCCAAAGTATGAGATATATACGCATGTATAATCAGACAGTGAATAAACAAGACCACAAGGGGCACTACCAAGGATATGTCTTCTGCCCTAAAAGCCATCTGTTAGGGGAGGTTTTATCCATACAGAGACAAAAAGTAAAAACACTGATATCCAGGCCCCCAAATAATCACAATTTTGGAGACAGTAAATTTTAAATGATACTCATAATTGACTGAGTCTTGGACTAAATTATATTTCTTTATTTGAGTGTGTTCAATTCAGTTGGTATGTACTTTTTTAGACCTTCAAGCTACTTAGTGGATGCCTCAGCGTAACTGGATTTTATTCCCGTGTATAGAAAAGGTTAAGTCCTAGCAATAATCCTGTATTAATTAATACTTTCTTCCATGTCTAAAAGATGCACTCTTTTAAGTGATTAAGGACTGTAAGTACGTAAAATTCTTTGGTATAACACTATAACAGTGTGAAGAGCATGAAAATTGAGTTGCTAAAATATCGGCAAATAGAAATTGTTAATCCCATTTGTCTCATTCCATGTGTAACAGCAAATATCTTGTAGCTTATATCCAAGAAAGTCGCAATGACTCCTACAAAACCAAAAACGACCAACCAGCAAGAATACACAACAAAGACAACCTAAGAGTGAAGCATGTATGCCACAGGGTTCTCAATGAGCTCACAAACACTTCATTTTCTTTTCACTCCAGTTTAATTTCTACCTGCCTTATTTCCTGGGAACAAAGTGCTGTAGTTTGTTTGTTGTTGTTGTTGTTGTTGTTTTAGCTCTGTATTCACTGAGAAATCCAACAGTCATTTGGCCACTGATGTTTGTGGTGCTAAACTGGATGCTGGGTATTGATTAAGCATTATAAAATAACCCTGAGGTGCCTACTGGTGAGATCCAGAATGATGACATCAGCACTTCCTGTCACTGCTAGACAGGTGGTTATTTGTTACTTATATAATACTAAAAAAGGGGGGGAAAGCTATCCTTTTCCTCCTGTTGCCCTAGAAGCCTCTATGCTGGGGATCTCTTGATCTCCAGGGCCCAGCTGAGCTCCCTAGTACGAAGAATTTACTAACACAGCTTAGCTAATGAGAAAAAAAATGTTTCCTTCCTTTATCATAATGTTCTGGGAAGGACTTCATTCGTTCATTCATGAGTTCCTACCGTGTGCCAGGCCTGTTTCAAGCCCCTCAGGTGCTCAGTGAACACAACAGTAAGAGCCAATACTCCCACCAGGCAGAGTTCCGGGCAGTTGGCAATTCTTACTCATGATTACAACAAAACACACACAGACTTCGGCCCTGGAGGAGCTCACACCAACGTCAGGGTAGACGTAGGCTGGGAGTACAGACAAACGACAGACGAAAATAAGTGGACCTTTCAGCACTTGAGGCGGTAAGAGCTGTAGAGAGAGCAGATCGGCCTCCCGGAGCCGACCCGAGTGCCGTGGGAGAAGCGGGTCACGTAGGCCACTGACGGGGACTCGGACTCTCCACTCTGGTCCACGTCCACGCCTCCCTAAGGGATTGTGCCGCAGCTCCCCAGCCCCGGAAGGCCCCATCCACCACGCGCGGTGTCGCCCCGGGCCGTCGGAGAAGACGCTACGGAGGCCTCCCCGCCCCCCGTCATTCCCGGTCCAGCCAGCCGTCCAGGGCCACCGAGGGGCGCTCCCGCGGAGCACCCCCGGCTCCTGAGGCGGCTGCCGGGACTTCCGTCGTCCGCAGGCACTTCCGGGATCGCTCTAGGATCGCAGGAAGGTTCCCAAACTCAGTGGTTGCTCTGAGCCGGTTGTAGGGCGCGGCTGGCCGGCCAGGCCTAGCTGGCCTCGAGGTCGCGTTCTCCCGGCCGCCTTCCCCTCCCCTGCGGAAGCTGGCACTCCGCTCCCCTTACGCCCCGCGGGCCGACCTGCCGTGGTGGTTATGCATGTGGACTCACCTCCCTTTGCCTGTAAAATTCAGACACTTTACTTTTAGGGTATTTTTTGCTGACTTGACTAGACTTGTTATATATCGGCCTGGCACAAGTAATATCTTTTGTATTTGCTAGATAAAAATAGTGCATTACCCCTACTAGCCTGATATGCTGCTCATCTGTCCTGTCTTTGACCACAGACGAAACTGGTGGTCTCTGTTTCTAATCTCAGGGCCCGGGATGAAGTTGAAGGAGGAAAGCTACGTGGTAAGAGTGAGAGGAAGACTGGTTTCCCTTACGCATTAGTGAAAGAGTATTCTGAGTACAGAGTTAGTGCATGACCTCAGAAAGAGCCACCAAGGCAGGGGGTGTCTAAAGAAACTAACCCGTATTGTCAGGCATCCAGGACTCCCAAATGATCAGTGTCCCACGGTGTGTTCAGAGAAACACTGTGCCCTCCCCCAGCAATACAAAGGTAGTTTGAGAATCTGTGAAATAATAGGTACTTCCAGATGCACCTGTTGGGTTGGCAGGAAGCCACACAGGCAGCAGGTGCAATGGGAAGACAAGGGGCTATCTCTGCTGCCAGTGAATATCCAAAATCCAAAGGAAGTGTCTTGCTTGTAGGAAATAAGAGTGAGCAGAATTGTTGATTCTTCTTCCTCCTCTTCCTTCTCCTGCATCTTCTCCTTTCTCCTCTGCCTTTCTGTTGTTGATAATAAACCCTAATGAGAAAATAGACTTCCCACATAAAAACTTTGTGGGGTATTAAGTTCAATAATGGATGGGACATGAGTCAAAGGATGACAGTTTCAGCCCTTTATTTCCTGGCCTAGAGAATACAGCCTAGGAATCAGATAGTACATTTAAAAAGCTAGGAAGGAAAAAAATAAAATAAAAAGCTAGGAAGGTACTAGAATTTCAAGCAAGAAAACTTGTATTTCCTATTTCCCTTTCTTGCCAGTTTCCTTCATTTCAGCAAGAATCTCAACTTGAGCACTATTGACATTTGGGGCTGAATCATTTTGTTGTGAGATACTGTTCTGTGCATTCTGGGATTAGAAGCATTCCTGAACTCTACCCACTAGATTCCACTAACTCCTTCTTCTCCCCTCCCAGACACTGACCTGTCCCTCCCCACTGACCCCCCACCTGGCTGCCGGCTGTGAAACCACAAGTCTCTTTTCATGGTCAAATGTCTCCTGGGGGACAAAATCATCGTGGGTGAGAAGTACTGTTTTAAAATAAGCCTATTTGAGATATTTGAAAACACTTCTTCATATAGTCTTTTCCCATTTGCATCTCATGGCAACTCCTAGCACCCAGCCAGTCCAAGGAGCCCTTTTTTCCTGACCTTTCAAAATCTAGTAGTCCATATGAAATCTAAGTTACAAGAGCGCCTGGGTGGCTCAGTCAGTTGAACATCCAACTCTTGGTTTCGGCTGGGGTCATGATCTCTAGGTCAATGGACTGAGCCTGGAGTTGGCTTGTCCCTCTACCCTGCCCTGCCTCTGTGCGTCCCCCCTTGGTGCATGTGTGTACTCTCTCAAACAAATAAATAATATAAATAATCCTTAAGAATTAAAAAGACTTTGAAGTGCCTGGGGGGTTAAGCATCTGCCTTGGATTCAGTCATGATCTTATGATCTTGAGATAGAGCCCTTCATCATGCTCCCTGTTCACCAGGGAATCTGCTTCTTCCTCTCCTTCCAACCCTCCTCTCTGCTTGTGCGCTCTCTTTTTCTCTCTCTCTTTCAAATAAATAAAATCTTCTAAGAAAGAACTAGACCTTTAGAAAAAGAAATCTAAGTTACCTCATTTTTAGCATGAAATCTAATCATGATGTATCACCACTCTACCTCTTCTCTTATGGCTGACAGCATTGCCCATGCATTACTGTCCTTTCCTCCAAACAAGGCAAAGCTATTATGATGAGACATCACTATTCTATTTTGTAGGGTTAAAACAGTAGAGTGAAACTATTGAATAAAATGTCAGGGCTCCAAGTCATGGATTTCCTTCATACCTATAGACCAATTAGAAAACTGTATCATGAAGGGATGTATGGAGTGAGGGCTAGTTGGTCATTTTTATATGAGGGCAGTAACTCCATAGGTATTTTTGAGGTATAAAGTTCTCTCTTCCCAATTAGTAAGTGTCCTAGAGGTTAGAAGGTCATGTTTTTCTACTTGGCTTTTTTTGCATTTAACAAATGCCTGACCCAGCACAATGCATCTATCAAAGTTGACTGACAAAACAGTGTTCCTTTGAAATGGATTTGCCAGAAGGAAGCTCAGCAATAAAATGTCTGTAAAGACTGAGAGTTCAGAACCATTGATGGTACAAGTTCAGAGGGGCCTAGGAGATGACCTGGTACAACATTCTCTATTTTGAATGTGACCTATAAAAATGATAACTTTACAAATGACAGTTACATATACAAATACAGAATACTGAAACAAAAGTATCATAAAACAGTACTCTTATTATTAATGAATTCTGATATTTTCTGTTCTAAATGCTTCCAATTCATTTTTTGGAAAACCTACTGATGGATAATGACAACTGCTTCGATCTGTGTTGCCAAATATCCTCCAAAAACCATGTGGAACAAGAAAAACAAAACTACACAAAAACTATGTCTTCAAACTACCAGAAGACAGAAAATGCCTAAACTTTAAATTACCTAGAATACAAAGTGAGAAAACACCAGAATCCCACCCTCCCCGCCCCCATGGCAAGGCTCTGTGGTGAGAAATGGGCAGTCTGAGAAAGTCCTAGAAAAGAGAAGAGGGGAGCTAGTAGTGGCCCTAAAAGTTACTCTAAAATCACCATCAGAAAGAGGGAGTCTATCCTATGTGTGAAGATTGGGGAAAATATACCGGGTATGAGAACACAGCAAGGGGTTTAAGAGAGTATGTAACTCAGGGTGGCAGTCTTCAAAAGACATACTTTGAAAGGGAGAGGAGTAAAGAAAAAACAGTTTTTGGTAAATTTGTAGTGAAAGGGATAAAGAGTGAAAGAGGAAACTTTTAAGATTCCTGCAAGATATATATATATACACACAAAGAAATCTCAAAACCAGTAATCACACAGTCTGCATAAAAACATCTACTAAAGAAACTGGATTTTGTTACACTGACAGAAGGAACCACTGAATAAAGAATCTAGTACACACCCTAAGTTTATGAACAGGGGAAAATGTGAAAAAAATATAGGAAAAGGTACTACATGGAAACAAAAAATCAGAACCAACACACCTCAGGTAATACAAATCAACTAGCCCACTCCCCCAAAAATCCTTGAAGAAAAAGAAAAATGAAACAAATACTGCAAAGTAAACTGAACATCTCAAACAAGCATCAGAGATATGAAAAACACCTTGAATCAGAAACTCAAGGGGCATCCCGCGTGGCTCAACGGTTTAGCGCTGCCTTCAGTCCAGGGTGTGATCCTGGAGACCTGGGATCGAGTCCCACGTCGGGCTCCCTGCATGGAGCCTGCTTCTCCCTCTGCCTGTGTCTCTGCCTCTCTCTCTCTGTCTCTCATGAATAAATAAATAAAATCTTTTAAAAAATAAAAAAAAGAAACTCAAAAATTAAAAACAAAGATAGATCAAAAAACTAGGAGGAAATGAAAAGAGAGCTGATTGAACCTGGAAGGAAATGGAAGAAAGTTACCTGAAAAACAAACACTACATCGAAAGATACCTAGGGTAGAAAATCCTAAATGTAAAAAATAAAAGGAGCACTGAGGCAGGAAAGGCAGGAAAACAAAGAGAATGAAAGCGAAAGGAAAGAAGAAGAAAGTGGAAGATATTAGAGGAGTGATTGAAATGGAAGCTGGGCCAATGAAGTCCCTGAAAAATAAAACAACAAAATAAAATTAATATTGAAAGTCCTAATCCAAGAAAACTTTACATGTTTTTTTTCCCAAAGATTTCATTTATTTATTCATGAGAGACACACAGAGAGAGGCAGAGACATAAGCAGAGGGAGAAGCAGGCTCCCTGTAGGAAGTCTGACGCAGGCCCTGGGTGGCGCAGCGGTTTGGCGCTTGCCTTTGGCCCAGGGCGCGATCCTGGAGACCCGGGATCGAATCCCACATCGGGCTCCCGGTGCATGGAGCCTGCTTCTCCCTCTGCCTATGTCTCTGCCTCTCTCTCTCTCTCTGTGACTATCATAAATAAAAAAAAAAAAAAAGGAAGTCTGACGCAGGGCTCAATCCCAGGACCCTGGGATCACACCTTGAACCAGAGGCAGACAATCACTGAGCCACCCAGGCATCCCAAACTTTACATTGTTAAACACTGAAAGGGCAGCCTTGGTGGCCCAGCAGTTTGGCGCCACCTCCAGCCGGAGGTGTGATCCTGGAGACCCGGAATCGAGTCCCGTGTCGGGCTCCCTGCACGGAGCCTGACTCTCTCTCTGTCATGAATGAATGAATGAATGAATGAATGAATGAATAAATAAATAAAATTTTAAAAAGAAAACAAAAACAAAACACTGAAAACAAGACCTAAATGTACAAAGGGCTCACTGGATACCTTGGAAGATTGTCCTGGAACAGGAAACTAGAGATGTGTGCTAGTCAATATATTTGGCTTCAAAGATAAAGAAAAATGTCCTCTAGGCCTCCAGGGGAAAACATTAAAGAACTTAAAAGGGCTAAATAATTAGACTGATATTAGCTTTCTCAAAAACACCACACAAAATGAAACTATAGTGGAATATTTTTTAAAAATTCAATGAAGAAAAGTGCGACCCATGGGGCACCTGGGTAGCTCAGTCTGTTAAGCGTCTGACTCTTCATCTCAGCTCAGGTCTTGGTCTTAGGGTCATGAGTTCAAGCCCCACACTGGGCTCCATGCTTGGCATGAAGCCGACTTAAAAAAATTTTTTTATGAAGTGTGACCAAAGAATTTAATATTCAGCTCAGCTGTCCTTCAAGTATCAAGATTACAAAAATAGTTTGAGATCTAGAAGAACTTAGGGATTTCTAAATCCATGAGTCTTTCTGGAGGAGACACCTGGAAACAGGCTTTATTCAACCATATGACTTGGAAAACTCAAAATTATCAATAATATTTTAATATATTTTATTGTAGGCCTAAAATTAAAATAGAAGCAGCAACAAGGATAGAAGATAAATATGTAAACATCATTTATTGTGACAAGTAGAATTAATACAACTTCAAAATGGGAAAAAGGAGGAGCACCCGGCTGGCTCAGAAGAGCATGAGACTCTTAATTAATCTTGGGGTAGTGAGTTGGAGCCCCATGTTAGGTGTATAGATTTTTAGAAAAAAATAAGTAAACTTAAAAAAAAATGGGAGAAAAGAGAAGCTCACTGATTGTAGGTGAAGGAAACAAAACTGACAAGTCAATGTAAAAGCTGGATATGAAAATAGGTGACTAAGGGCATTAAAAATATTATAAATACAAATGTTACCATTGTAATAAAACTACATTTTCTTCTAAATATGAAGAATATTTCTAAAGTAAAAGAGCAAAATATACACAAGAAATAAATATAGCCAACACAACAGTCAATATTAAAAAATTTTAAAAAATAAATTGATGGTACCAAAGATATCAAATCATATCAATAAATAGAAGTGAAACCTAACTTACCTGATAAAAGAAAGATTGGGGGGGGGCATCTGGATGGCTCAGTCAGTTAAGTGTCTGATTTGGGCTCAGGTTATGATCTCAGGGTCCTGGGATCGAGCTCCACATTAAGCTCTCTGCTCAGTGAAGAGTCTGCTTCTCCCACTGTCCCTCCCCCTGCTCATGCTCATGCTCTCTCTTTCAAATAAATAAAATCTATAAAAAAAAGAAAGATTTTTCATTCAAGCTACAAATTAAGACCTGATTATACATGTACCCTATGCACTGAATGTTGCCAAGATAAATTCAAAACGATGTAAATAAATGCAGAAATATACAATGTTCATATGTTAGACTACTCAGTACTCTTAGGATGTCAATTCTCCCCAATTTTTTTTTTTATAGATCCAATGCAATGCAAAGTAAAATCCCAGATGTTTTGGAAGAAATTGACAAGCTGTTTCCAAAACTCATATGGAAATGGAAATGACCTACAATTGCCAAGACAACTTTGAAAAGGTTGGAGGACTAATGCAACTGATTTCAAGAATTACTATAAAGATATTAGTAATCAAGAGAGAATGGTATTAGTGTAAAGGTAAACAAATAGATCATTTGAACAGAATAGGAAGTCCAGAAATAGACTCGCATGAATATGAACAACGTTTCAGCAATCATTTGAAGGCAAATCAGTGGAGGAAAAAACTAAAAATTACGAAGCACCTAAAAGAATTACAATTTTTGGGATCCCTGGGTGGTGCAGCGGTTTGGCGCCTGCCTTTGGCCGGGGGCGCGATCCTGGAGACCTGGGATCGAATCCCACGTCGGGCTCCTGGTGCGTGGAGCCTGCTTCTCCCTCTGCCTGTGTCTCTGCCTCTCTCTCTCTGTGTGTGACTATCATAATTAAATAAAAAATTAAAAAAAAAAGAATTACATTTTTTTTGTGTGTGTGTGACTTTGGGTTAGGCAAAGATTTCTTAGTCATATCACCAACATGACCCGTCTTAAAAAAAAAGATAAATTGTACTTCATGAACATTTAAAAATTCTGCTCTTCAAAACACAGTATTAGAGTGAAGATAGCCCATAAACTGGAAGAAATAGTCATACATCATTGCACTGATAAAGGACTGGTATCCAGAATATATAAGTTTAGAAAACAAACAGCCCAAGGAAAAAAATGGGCAAAATCTTGAACAGATACTTCAGAAAAGGCTTTATAGGAATGACCGATAATCCCATGAAAAGATGCTCAATCATTAGTCCTTAGAATTACAAATTAAAATTACAATAAGGTACATATCTATTAGGTTGTCTAAAATCAAAGACTGACCTTACCAAGCATTAGCAAGAATGTGTAGTTAAGGAAAGCCCATAGAATGTTGGTAGGAATGTGAAAGAGAATAAATATTAGAAAACAATTTGAGTTTCTTTAAAAGTTAAAAATATTCTTAGCAAGTAATTTCAACCATCCCACTCCTAGGTATTTACTGAAGAGAAACGAAAACATGTCTATACAAAGACTTGTTTATACACAAATGTTCATACTTCAAAACTTCATTTTTAAGAGCTCTCAAATGGGAATAACCCAAATGTCTATCAACAGGTAAATAAATGTACAAAAAAAAATAAATAAATAAAAAATAAAAAAATAAAAAAAAAACAGGTAAATGTACAAACTGTGGTGTATCCATACAATGGAATACTCAACAGTATAAAGAAAGGATTGTTGATATATGCAACAACACAGATGAATCTCAAAATAAATATGCTGAATAAGAGAAGCTGGACCAAAACAGTTAATGTACTGTTTTATACATTCATATCCAATTCTAAAAAATGCAAACTAAATTTATAGCAACAGAAAGCTGAGCAGAGTTTGCTTGGAGATGAGGGCAGGATGCAGGGAAGGGAGGGAGGGAGGAATTATCAAGGCACACATGTTAACTTTTTTGGGTGATAAATATGTTCATTATATTGATTGTGGTAATTGTTTCACAGATGTGCACATGTTAAAAGTTATGTTCAACTGTACATTTCTGCAGTTTACTATACATCAATTTTCCTCAGTAAAGCTGTTTATTTTTTTTAAGATTTTGTTTATTTGGGAAATACTGCACAAGTGGGAGGACAGGCAGAAGAAGAAGCAGGCTCCCTACTGAGCAGGAAGCCAGACCCAGGACCATGAAATGATGACCTCAGCCAAAGGCAGACCCTTAAACAACTGAGCCACCCAGGCGCTCCAGTAAAGCTGTTTAAAAAATACTATAACTGATTATATTGCAGATTCGAGGTAAATAAATTTAAAAATCTAGATGAAATGGATAGTTTTCTAGGCAAAGTAATACATTACTAAAATTGATTCTCATTATAAATAGCCTAAATAGACCATTTTTTTGTAGAAGAAACAGAACAAGTTACCAAAGAACTATCACATAGGAAAAGTACTCAGATGGTTTTACATTAGAATTCAAGCTTCAAAGACCAGCTAATTCCAGTGCTCTATAAATTGTCCTAGAGTATTAAAAATGAACAAAAAAGGAATTGCTTTTATGATGCAATTAAAATGTTGAAACCTAAACCTGGAAAATGTAGTACAAAAAAAATAAATTACAGGCCAATTTCATATAAACATTGAAGAATAAAGTACTAAATAAAATATTAGAAGTCACACATATTAAGAATACATCATGACTAAGTAGGATTTACTGCAAGAATGCAAGATTGATTCAATATTAGAAAATCCTTTCACATAACAAAAGATAATAATAAAGAAAAAATAATGTGATTTATATAATTTCTAAAAGGCCTTTTGCAGAATGCAGTCTTCTTTTTTTTTATTAAAGATTTTATTTATTTGAGAGCGAGGGAGCAAGAAGAGAGCATGAGGAGGGGGTGGGGGCAGAGGGAGAAGGGTAGAGAGGCAGAGGTAGAGGGAGAAGCAGACTCCCTGCTGAGCAGGAAGCCCAACAAAGGGCTTGATCCCAGGACCCCGAGATCATGACCTAAGCCAAAGGCATATGGTTGGCAGACTGAGCCACCCAGGCACCCTGAATGCAGTCCATCTTCTAAAATGACTGGAATAGAGGACACCTGGGTGTTTCCGTGGTTGAGTGTCTGCCCGTGGCCCAGGGCGTAATCCTGGAAGAGTCCAACATCTGGCTCCTTGCACGGAGCCTGCTTCTCCCTGGGCCCGCATCTCTGCCTCTCCCTGTGTTTCTCATAAATAAATAAATAAAATCTTAAGAAAAAATGAAATGACTGTAATACTTATTTTTTGAGAGGGAGAGAGAGCACTTGTTGAGGGGGGGCAGAGGGATGAGAATCTTATTTTAAAAGATTTTATTTAGGGCATCCCTGGGTGGCTCAGTGGTTTGGCGCCTGCCTTTGGCCCAGGGCGCGATCCTGGAGTCCCAGGATCGAGCCCCGCGTTGGGCTTCCAGCAAGGAGCCTGCTTCTCCCTCTGCCTGTGTCTCTGCCTCTCTCTCTCTCTGTCTCTCTCATGAATAAATAAGTAAATAAATAATCTTTGAAAAAAAATAAAAGATTTTATTTGAGAGAAAGCACAAGTAGGGTGAGGGACAGAGGTAGAAGCAGACTGCCCCCTGAGCAGGTAGCCCATTGTGGGGCTCAAACCTGGGACTCTGGGATCAAGACCTGAGCCAAAGGCAGATGCCCAACAGACTGAGCTACCCAAGGGCCTCGAAGGAGAATCGTAAACATGCTCCACAACCAGCAGAGAGCCCAACATAGGGCTCAATCTCATGACCCTGAGATTATGACCTGAACTGAAATCAAGAGTCAGATGCTTGGGACGCCTGGGTAGCTCAGTGGTTGAGCCTCTGCCTTTGGCCCAGGGTGTGATCCTGGGTCAGGCGATCGAGTCCTGCATCAGGCTCCCTGCGAGGAGCCTGCTTCTTTCTCTGCCTATGTCTCTGTCTCTTTCTCTGTGGGTCTCTCATGAATAAATAAAATCTTTAAAAAAAAAAAAAAGTTGGATGCTTTACTGGCTGAGCCACCCAAATGCCCTCTGTAGTATCTATTCAAAAAAATTTAGGAATGCGCAGCAAATACACTCAGAGTTCTAAAATAATCACTGCAAAGTTTTAAAATCTATGTTTCCTATATTTAGTGATTAATTATATAAGCCTCATTCTCTCTCACAGAGATTAGGCCATATTAACAACTTGCTGAAGAGCTTCTAAAGATGCTTTCCTCTTTTGGCCTGTTTTACAAATGAAAAAGGATAATAAGTTAAAGTATTAGCCTTCACAACGTTATATTATGCATTATTTGTAAGGGAAAGTATTTCCATCATTATCTTTCAATAAGTTGTCTGTGAATTATCTTTCACTATCTTTTTTTTTTTTTTTAGAGTTTTATTTATTTATTCATAGAGACACAAAGAGAGAGGAGACATAGGCGGAGGGAGAAGCAGGCTTTATGCAGGAGCCCAATGTGGGACTTGATCCTGGATCCTGGGATCACACCCTGAGCCAAAGGAAGACACTCAACTGCTGAGCCACCCAGGCATCCCTATCTTTCACTATCTTAAACAATCAAACCCAAGGTAGAATATACATATTCTCTAAGGGACACTGACATGGTCTTATGCTGGAGAACACAGAAGCAATCTCAAATTTAGGAAAGTGTCCAACTTTATAAATGTAATTTTTGTGTCCTGGGGTACAGACATAAGCCTATTTAGCTCATAAAAAAAATAAAATATAACAGTAGACAATATCTACTGTTGTTGAATGAATTAAAATATGAGATTACAGCAGGCCTGGCAGAAACATGTACACACAGTCATCAAGAAGACAGTAACACAGATCCTGGGATGCAGATGAGCACCTTATTTCAAAAGTTCTGGTTGCTTACATCTATAGATTCCTCTAGAATGCAAAAAAGAATGGCTGACATTTTCTTTTCTTGACCTGAGACATTCATTGAATGTTTTTACTGGCTAAATTGGGCAATTAAGAATACCCATTCCCCATACAACTTGCCTTTTTACATTAATTTAATTTTCCAATAATGTGGAGATTCTGTTGTTGAGACTTGGTCTCTGTCCATGCAACATCCCATGATCCTCTCATTTATAAGAACTTCTGGGGTATGGATTCACTGATGTTAACCAAGGTCCAACCACTGTTTGAAGACTTCCATACTCTTCACACTGTCTGGGTTTCCTTGTAGTGTGAATTCTTCAATGATGAATAAAGCTGATGGTTCCATGCAAAACATTTCCACATTCATCACATTTATATGATTTTTCTCCTGCATAGACTCTCTGGTGCACAGTTGGTCCTGACTTGTGGGTGAAGGCATTCCTGTTTCCTCCATGTAAGGTTCTATAAGGTTTCGGTGCTGTATGAAGGCCTCCTCACAGTCATCACATCTATGCAGTCTCTCCTTTATGTGGATTCTCTGATGTAAAGTAAGTCCACTATAGCTGAAAGCTTTCCCACATTTCCTACACTGAGCATTTTTCCTTGTGATGTATCTCCTGGTGGGAAAAGAGGGACCCGCCATAAACAAAAGCCTTTCCAAACTTGTTCTCCAAGAGATTCTCTTTGTCATTTGGACTCCCTGATGTCGAGTAAGGACTCACCAGTTACTAAATCTTTTACTACACTTACTGCATAGGTGTTGCAGTTCTACAGAGATAGAACTACCACATGATTTAGCATCTTCATAATTTTTTTGTTGGAGACAAGTCCTTATTTTCATTCTCAGTAACACCATCTAAAAAAAAAAAATGCAGACAGTTCAAATGTTGGTTATCTCTTCTCCTGAGATAATAAGACTTAAGATGAAGAGCAGTGATAAAATAAAACCCAGTTTTACCTAAAGTGCATCCCTTTTCTATGTATCCAAACTGTCATCTCAATTTGGCAAAGTGCTGAAAAAGGCATGTGAGGTTCCAGTTTTAGTGAGAAGAGACAACTGGGCAGAAAGTTTGGAGGATTTTCTTATAAAATGTGACAAAGAACCAGGTAGGTATAATAAAAAAAGTTAAGAGATCAGCTTGAAACCAGAGATGAAAAATGAAGTTATTATGCAATCAAGAGAAATTTTGTTAGTGTGAGTTAAAAGGACCATTTATACCAAGTGAGATGTACTTAGGCCACTATTATAGAAAAACAAAATGCTCTACAAATATTTATTGAGTGAACCAATTAACAGTGAGATATGATAAAAGTTAACTCAAAGCAATAGCTAGAACAGTTTCAAAAAACGTAGTATTTTTTAAAAGATCTGTTTCTTTATTTCAGAGAGCTCATACAAGCATAAGGGGCAAAGGAAGAGGGAATATTAAATGGACTCGGCACTAAATGGGGGTGCTGATGTGGGGCTGGATCTCACAATCCTGAGATCATGACCTGAGCCGAAATCATGAGTCAGTCACTTAATCAGCTGCACCACCAACGCACCCCAAAATACATACTGTTTTGAAAGGGAAAAATTTAAGTGGGGAAAATAACTTTTCCAGCAATGTTCAGGACTAAATCATAGGAAGAAAGCCGCACTTTGAAGTTCAAGGAGTTGAATAGGTCAAAACAAACTAAACAAAACCCCTCACAAATATGGCTTGGAGTTTCTACCTCAAGAATTGGGCAGATAATGAGGAGATGGGTAGAGGCCAAGTTTTCTTTTCTTTTTTTTTTTTTTTGAGGCCAAGTTTTCAAGGGAAAGGGCATTACTAATGAGAATTCTAAGAAACTTTCTTCAAGGATCTCTTCTTTCTCTGAAGACACTGCTTTCCATTTCAAAAGGCAATAATGTTCAAAGTCAAACTAAGACAAGGTCTTAATAGGCTGCACTTGACACTTTGGATTCCAAAGTACTATTTCTGCCACAAGCATATCTTGTTTTATCCTTTAGCCTAGACCCTAAAGGAAATGGGATGAAGCTGGTCTTGCAAAACTGAATTTGAAGATAAACTTTCAGTAAAATTGCCCAAACCACCACCATCCAATTTCAAAAATTTCCAGAGATGCACACGAATACCAAGGGGGAATTAAAGTCCATGAGGTAGGTGCTGGGTTTGGCTCAAAGACAGGTAGTGGATCCTAGAGTTCAGTTTTACCGTTTTCTGTACTATTCCAGAAGACTTTCACTTGTCAAGCCATAACATAAGTGATTATCCTAACCCTTCCCACCTGATGGCTCTTCCTCCAAGCTGTCTCCAACTTCTCCAGCATCAGCGATGTCTCTTCTCCACATTCTGGATATTATCCCTTCCTGAGTCTGCAGCTCCCCAGTAGGTGTCAGGATCTGCTTCAGCACTTGCTCCTTGGTCTGTTTCTGATCTCAGCAACTGTAGGCAAAGCTCTGAGACTTCTGACAGCCCTTGGAGCCCAGGTAGCTGCCTCTTGGTAGTAGCAACTTCAAGTCTGAAGGGATGTCCATGATTTCTCTGCCAGCACGATCCCAGGCATAGCCCTCTCCCTCTGCCATCAGTCACTAGTAGGGACCTTTGCACAGGAGGACCGCCATTCTGAGAGGAGAGCGCTCAGAAGATTCACTCCAGCCTCGAGTTCACACTGGTTCTTCAGAAGTATTTCCTTGTAGTTAGTAACAAACAACTACAAGGAACAAAGTAACACTGTTAACAGAAACTCTCAATTTTAAGTTCTTTTCCTCAAGAGCTCACTTAGGAGACAAGGCACTGAAGGAAAAAGGAACTGTCAGGAAGCGAAATAAATTAGGAGAGTGGGAGTGACTTTGCAAATTATTAGCTAGCACCAACACTAAGTACTAAAATCTTACTTCCTAAATGTTAATAAAGCTTGAAAGACCATGACCCTCTTCTCCTGGGTTCTCCCTTTTAGAGAATCCCAAATAAACAGTAAAGAAAACAACATCAGAAATGAAATAACAGCTAATATTTAAAAGTGACTACAAATTTACTCATTTAAGTAGATAATATCATAATCCCACAGACAGTTGAGACACCATGGTAGAGATTGAATCACTCAATACAGCACACAACCATCCTAATCCTTTCTCGCACTCCAGCGTCACCTATACTCTAGGGAGAGTCATGAGGCGGATCATCTCCCGACCAACCCAATTTTGCTTTCACAAGAGCCGGGCCCCAGACTTTCCTCCTCCTAACAACCCAGGTATCCTAATACACCTCACAACTCGGAAGCCATCCTTGACCCTCCCATGCAGCTCTCCATTGTCGGACACACTCCCACCCCAGCGTGCCTCCTCTCCTCCTGCACTGCCGTGGATCTCCCCTAGGAACCTGGAGGCTTCCTCCTCTCGGTGATTGCCTTGGCTGTCCCCGCCCTGCCAAACATCCCTGCGGCAAGGGCAGATGAGGGGGCCCACCCTCCCAGGACAAACGTCGCTAACCCGGGCTATACTGAGATAACGAGCAGGGGCGGAGACAGGGCGGGGAGCCCTCTCTTCGTCAGCCTGAGTGAGATGGGTCCTGAGGGAGCCGCAGCAGGCAGTTGGCCCGGGAATCCTGCAGTGGCCACAGACGACTGGTGCCCGCGGTTGGAGCGCCCACGGGAACGCAGCAGCAGCAGATGGCTGTTAAGAACCTCAGAGCGCCAAGCACTGTTCTCAGCACGGTCTACAGAACCCAGCGACTCATGTACCGGCCCAATCACGTGGCGGCTAGTACTGCCACTTTCCCTATGGAGACACTGACACAAGGATAGCCATCGGTCTGCCCGAATTCACTTAGTATGCCTGGAAAACTAGTACCTACACTGCCAGGTCCGTTAGCGGGTATGAGATGGTGAGATGCCCACTCCTAAATATTTTTCAAGTAGGCACAACTGATGCAGTAGATGAAAGTGAAATATACGTATCAAGCTTATAGAGGAATGAATAAAATCCTAACCATAAATCACAAGGGACAAATGACCCCCACTTTGAGGTCCTTCTTGGGATAGCCTGGACCAGGCCATTCCGGGTAAGATGACTGGTGGAACAAACATGCATCCCCCAAAGACCACTTTCAACTGTGTTGGCTGAAAGCTCTGGGAGCCAATGGGTTTTCAGACCCGGGAGTCAGTGGTTTCCAATATGAAAACTGCTGGCTTTCAATGATGGTCTTACCATGTGAGCTAAGGAGTTACTCAACTGACTTTACTTATTTGGCTTTGTCAAAATCAAATTACGTCTAAAGCCTACATACAACATTTTTTTATAAAATACATTCATACATATATCCTCTCTATATATACACAAAAAAACTATACATGAGTAATAAATGTGCAAGGACTCCTTACCAATTACCCCCAAAAACATTTGGAATGAGAGAGAATCCAAAGAAATTTCCAATAAAATGAACTGCTAGAGACTGTGGTATGAGAACTTTTAAGTGTGAAAGGACAAAAGTTGAGAATATTTAATTAAAGGTTATCAAATGATAATCCCTAAGAGGAATAGGACAACTTGTTGCTCAAATTCTGGGCTTGTGGTGCCAGGAGAGACACCTGAAAAAACTATTTTATATACTTATGTTTCCTTCAATCTTAGAAGTGGTGTTAGCTACAAATATAAAACCCTCATCAAGGGTAGATCCATATGGGTTATTGGATAGACCCATAATGGGACATCTAAATCTTTATCATTTGTATTAGTGAAAACTGCCAAATACCCTGAATTCTGTCAGAATGGAGGGTGATCCCTTCCTATAAACATATAGAGAGCCCTCTTTTAGTGGAATGTCTCCTGTGGACACCCTCCTTGGGTAGGCAACAAGAATTGGGGTTCATGTTAGGCTGACCAAACCTCATTCAAGATTTGGTGTGCAAAGAGGGTGGTGATATTACCTTGGGTGTTTAGACCTAGGACTCTGGGGTTTCTAACATATCTTTCAGAATAATGACAAGAGTAAGAAAGTTTCCACACAGATCATTACTAGAGACACTGATTACCACTGCAACACAGGGTTCCCTCAACTGAAGTAAACAGGAAGTGTGGGCTCTGGAATTGGGCTGCTTGGGTTCAAAGCTTGGCTCCACCACACAATAATTTTGTGACCTCAGATGGCTTTGATTTCAGTTTCCCCAGCTAAAAATAAAGCACATAGTAGTGTCTGGCCCTTGGTAAGCCATTAATGTTAGGCATTAACAAATCCTTTTCTTGACTTGCAAAGATAGCCAATAAGGGATCTGTTCAGAGCACAGGAGTACAGAGCTGCTCTTCTTGGATCTTCATGCTCTCTACAGCTGGCCTCACCACACAATAGACATTCTCAATTAAGAGCCCTACTCAATTCCATTCTGCTTCCTCATTAGCTTTATTTCCCACCTAAAATTCCAGCAACCTCTTCATACAACGGGGTTTTTTTTTTTGAGGGGGGCCCCAGCTTTCATCCCTTTGTCCCTTTCCATTAAATCCTGGACCCCGTTTGTCAGGTTACTTTTCATTTAAAGCCCCCTTTTCACTGTTTTAGTACTTTGATTCTCCCCCAATCTCTCCAAGTTTTTTTTTCTTTTTTTGTCTTAAACACTCAATATCTTGTTTACCCTGAATCAATTAGAAAAGCCAGGCAATCTCACTCATCCTTATTTCTAAGCCACCACTTCATGATTCATCATTTGAATGTTACACCAGTTCTTCAACCTGGCTGTTATGTTACTATTCTCGACTGACCTTATTTCTACCTTGGACTTGCTTCAATTTCACATTTTTCTTTTCCATCCTACCGCCTGTTATTGTTGATGATTTCAAAATCCACAAAGGTAAGCTACTCCAAAGGACCCTAATTTCTAGATGCTGTCACGGTTATAGCATGTCTACCTTTTATCCATAAAGATATACTCTGGACTTCGTCATGGGGCACTCTGTTCACCACATTCCCCAGTTTCATCTCTAACCCGTCATGTCCCCCACTTGCCCCTCAGGGCCTTCGCCTTCTGTGTTGCCAGTTTAGCTGGCATTATTCCACTCTATTTTCTCCTTATCCTGGATAGTTTGACCCCTCTGATGCCTACTTGGAAATTCCATGCCATCCCACCCTTTCTTGGTTCTGCAACTATATACAAGTGCAAGAAGCGATCAGAACAAAGCCCCCACCTTCACTTTTAAACCAGTGATGAACTGTATCCTATTGAAGGGGTACATCCTGCTGCTCTGGGTCTCTGTCTATAGCTCCTTTATGTTAGGCAGTTAAGGACATCAGAGGCAGATGGAGGATGTGTCTGCGTTGAAAGAACGTGTTAAGCAGATGAACTGCACAACCTGCAAGTAATAGCACTGCAAACAGAAAATAAGAATTGAGTTCCAGTAAATAGTAAGATTATGAGAGAGGCTCGAAGGGACTATGAAGAGTAACTTCAGTTTGGACACCGTGTCTGAAACCAGATCTGATGGCAAGGACAGATAGCATCAGCTGGTATAGAGGAAAGGCGTGCGTGGGTTCTCATCACTGAGTAGCAGAGAACTTGCAGGAGAGTGAGAGACACATGGCAGGGTGAGCTGGGGAACAGGAGCATACGGCTGAGTACACTCAGGCTCACTCGGGGCAACAAACTGATTTCTGGATGTAAAAAAATTAGGTGTCCGGCCCTGGTGGCTTCAGTGTCTCATGGGCTCAGCACCAATGCTGGTCGTAGGATAAACACCCTAAAGAGTTTTCAACTTATGATTGAGTTGTTTTTCAAATGTTCATTTGCTTTCCCCTATTGTGAACTCAGGATGTTTTCCCAGTCATGTAAATTCCAATCCCAAAAGCAAATGTGATACATAATATGCCTAAATTATAGTAGTGATACCATTATTATTTTTATAGGAAAATGTGCTCACACCTACAAGTTTAGAAGCTACATATCTATTTCTCCAGAGACTCTTCTGGTTCCAAGTCAGTGATGATATGCTTATTTTCTGTAAAGGACTGTGGATAGAGGGGCAAGAGAAAGGGGCCACTGGGAAAGGACACCAAGTACATTACAGGAGCAGGGAGGAAATGGGATAAAGACACAGGGCTGGATGCAATGGGAGATAGGAGTAGCCAAAGGATAGTTACCCTTGTCTTTCACCACCCCCTTCTGTCACTATCTTACCACTTCAAGCCCACTAACCAGCTAGAGGTGAGGGGTGGAGAGGATCCTGGAGCCACATGGGATAAGGTGGGGTGAGGAGGTAGCCCCAGAAATTGTAGTCCGCCATGGCAAGGTAGAAAGGGAAGGAAATAAGGGGAGACAGCTCAGTGAAGGTTATAGTCTCTGTAAATAGAAAGATAAACAGGGGTGCCTCAGTGTCTCACTTAAGCATCTGCCTTCAGCTTGGGTCATGATCCCAGGATTCTGGGATTGAGCCTCAGCCCCACATCAGGCTCCCTGCTCAGCGGGGAGTCTGCTTTTCCATGTCTCTCTGCCTGCCACTTGACCTGTTTGTGCTGTCAAATAAATTTAAAAATTTATTTAAAAAGAAAGTTTAAAAAAATGGTAAAAATAAAAAGACCAGGAGCCATACATGCCTCTACATGGCTGCCTATTATCCACAACAATAATCATAGGCCTTCATTAGGACATAACTATTTACTCAGTAATACAGGAGTAAAGTTAACCAGTTATCAGTTGATCTGTGTTTTCACAAGTCCCAAGGGACAAAGTCACCAATCTTTGGCTCTTTCATGTGCTCAAAAAGGTATATAGATCAAAAAATTGTAAACTAGTTCTAGAGAGCACTTATTAGGGAATTCAGAACGTGAGAACTATATAGTTGGGTAAAAAGAGAGGTTAGGAGTAAAACAGAACTCTAGCACCCTCCCTTAACTAAACATACACAGCCGTGTGCTCAGATGACCCCTGGAAGCCTTCAAATGTAGGTTAGTCTATTTTGAAAGCCTTAAGTTTGAAACAGTAGGAAGGCCATTCTGAAGCCCTAGGGGCTGGAAAGTGGTCTAGTTCCCTGTCCACTAAAGCACTGGTAGCACCTGGCTTTCTTTATGCCTCAAATCTGCATGGGTCCCTGTTTACACAGATTGTTTCTAGGCATAATCACTCCACAGGCAACCATGAAGGGAGCTGGGATTCAATGCAATGTTTCTCAGATTTACAATCAGGTGACCACAGAGCTATACAAATGAAGATTCTTGGCCCTCATTCCAGACTTAATGAAGCAGAATGTCTGTGAGTGGGATACAGGCATTTCAACAAGCTCCATGGGTGATTCCGATGCTCAGAGGAATCCCTAGAGCAACGGATAGGACCTGAAGTCAGAGACCCAGGCTTCAGGGGCTGGCCTTTCCCTTTGTGTGATGTTAGGGCTATGTCACCATCTCCATAAGCAAGGGTAGCCTTGCTTTTAAGAAGGAGAGAAATGTTGGGATGCCTGGGTGGCTCAGCAGTTGAGCATCTGCCTTTGGTTCAGGGCATGATCCCAGGGACCCAGGATTGAGTCCCACATCGGGTTCCCAACAGGGAACCTGCCCCTCCCTCTGCCTGTGTCTCTGCCTCTCTCATGAATAAATAAATCCTTAAAAAAAAAAAGGAGAAGAATTTTAATTTACAGAGATATTTTAGGAATTCATTAAGAGTGTTCTGTAAGTGCCTTTGGTTAAGAGGCTCTTTCGCCCTCCCAATCTGTCCCCAAGTTCTGTTTCCAGCTTACTGCCATCAACTGTCCAACTGAAGCTGGTCTACCTCAGGTTGGCATGGATGCTTCCAAACCATGAGCACTCTTGCCTCTGCTTACATCTCCTTTACCCTAAATGTTTCCCGTTTTGCTTTCCAAATCTGCCCATCTAACCCTCATCATCCATAGAATCCTTCTTGACCTGCTTAGGCATCAGTGATCTGTCCTCCAGAATTGGTAGCATTTACTGTGTGCCAGGTGCCACTTCAAAGATACAGGACTCATCAATCCTCCTGCCCTGCTGCCATTTGATGATCTAACCTCACACGTGAATCTTAAGAAATCCCAAACTAAATTGTAAAACTTTTGAGAAGGATAATTTGGTGTTCTGCGTCTTGTTCTCCACAGCACCTGAGAGAATGGGCAGCACACAGTGAATTCTTTGTAAAATATCTGAGGTTTCCTTTTAGCAAGTGACTGACGTTTTGCCCTAAAGGATTTGAAAGCTAGTATTTCTCTCCAGCCTCCATTGTGAGACAGTTTCCCTATAGTTGTCATACAGAAACAGATTTTTTTCCTCTGTGGATAATCTGATGTTGAATTAGAGCTGAAGTTTGCCTGAAGGATTCCCTACACTCTTTAAATTTACAGGGACCACCTCTGTTATGGATTCTCTGGTGTTTACTAAGATCTGACTTTTGCCTGAAGGCTTTGCCACATTCATCACATTGGTAGGGTTTCTCCCCAGTGTGGATTCTCTGATGCTGAATGAGGCTGGTTATTCCTCGGAAGGCATTCCCACACTCATCACACTTGTAGGGCCTCTCTCCAGTGTGGATTCTCTGATGTTCTGTGAGGACTGACCTTTGAGTAAAGGCCTTCCCGAACTTATCACATTTATAAGGTCTCTCCCCAGTGTGAATTCGCTGATGTTCTCTAAGACTTGTCCTCTGAATAAAGGCTTTTCCACATACATCACACTTGTAGGGTTTCTCCCCAGTGTGGATCCTCTGATGCTGAGCAAGGCCACTCTGACTGAAGGATTTCCCACATTCCTTACACTGATGGCACTTTTCTTTGTGGTGGATCTCCTGGTGGGAAATGAGGGATGAGTTATAAACAAAGGCCTTTCCACACTTGCTGCACGCATAGGGCTTCGCCCCAGTGTGAACTCCTTGATGTTGAGTAAGTATCGAGCGCCAACTGAAACTTTTATTACACTGAGTACAATGGTATGGTTTGTCTCTTGTGTGGATCTTGAGATGGTGAAAGAGGCCTGCTTTCTGGCTGAAGGCTTTGCCACATTAATTACAGTGATAGTGCTTCTCTCCTGTGTGAAGCCCCTGATGTTGGTTAAGAGCTGACCACTGGCCAAAGGCTTTGCCACATTCATTGCATTTGTATGGTTTCTCTCCAGTGTGTATTATTTTGTGCCGAATAAGTACAGTTCTCCCACGGAAAGTTTTTCCACATTCCTCGCATTTGTAGGGCCTGTCCCCAGTATGGACCCTCTGATGCTCTACGAGGTGCAAGTGCTGACTAAAGCCTTTCCCACATTCCTCACACTCGTGAGGTTTTTCTCCCAGATAGACCATCTGCTGTCCAGCCAAACTGACTCTGTTTTCATCACCTGTAGATTGTTCACCTTCCCTGGAGTGTCCAGAAGACTCTTCTGCTTTTGCTGCAGATTCATTAACTTTTCTGTATCGAGTGGACCAGAATACTTCACTTTCAAACCTAAACATATTCCCACATGGTTCCATTTCTTCAGAAACTTCTTGCTTTAAATTCCTGTACTCCTTTCCAGTCTCAACACCTGAAACTACAATCGATCACCAAGTCAGCTAATTTCCAGCATAAAATTATTCAGGTGAAAAATACATAAGAACCTAGAGTTTCTGTAGGACAATGAAATGGCATTAAAATACAGGACTGACATAATATATAAAGCACTTCAAAAACTATTATGGAAAAGACCAAACCCAAAGGAAACTGGTCAAAGGAAGAATTGACTGTCTCCAGGAAAGGAAATAATTAACTCTTAAACACAAGATACTCCACCTTAAGATAAGGGAAAAACAAATTTAAACAGTATCAGGATACAATTTTCACCCATCATCTCTGCCCATGAGTATAACACCATGTTCATGAAATGGGTGTCACACATCGCCAGTGGGAGTGTAAACTGACCCAGGCTTTACAGAGAGCAATTTGCCAATATCCATCAAAATTACAAATGTTCTCAACATTTGGCCAAGTAACTCCACATATGAGAATCTATACTGAAGTACTCACACACATTCCCCACCACTACCTGTTAAAGTAAAACACTGAGGACAGCTTGGGGGATGGGTAAGTTGTGTGGCTTGTCCATACACTTTAATATCAAGCTGCTGTTAAGAAATAAAAACTACAAATTTTACTATCTTAGTGATAAAAAGAAAAAAAGATACTTGTTTTGAATATGAATACATATTTTGAATCTGAAAAACATATGTATGTAAAAATATTTCTAAGAAGAACACATAAGAACTTAAAAACAGTGACAATCTGTTTCAGGGCTGGGAGGAGACCAGATTGCCAAAGGAATTGAGTGGAATGAAAAACCTTTCACTGGGTAACTTCTGTTTTTGAACTATATGAATTTTTACCTATTTTTAAAAAATAAATATAGACAAAGTAGAGATAGGAAAATATGGGTTCTTTCACCCATTCACCAACTTTTATTTTTATTTATTTATTAAAAGATTGTATTTATTTATTTTTAAAATGATTTTATTTATTCATGAGAGAGAGAGAGAGAGAGGCAGCAGAGACACAGGCAGAGGGAGAAGCAGGCTCCATCCAAGAAACCCAATGTGAGACTTGATCCAATGACTTTGGGATCACGCCCTGAGCCAAAGGCAGACACTCAACCGCTGAGCCACCCAGACGTCCCTCATTCACCAACTTTTAACACTCTGCTATATTTGCTTTGTCGTTCCTGCTCTTTATAAGCATACACATTTATACATTTTTTTCCCGAACCATCTGGAACTTGCAGACATCGTGGGGCAGAGGCCTGTCTACTGACTGATAGCCAAAGTGAAGACAGTAGTACTGTCTGATCGGATAAAGGCTAGAGAAAGCAGGGAGATAAGGACAGGAAAATAACTATCAGAAGGACTAAATTAGGGATCCCTGGGTGATGCAGCGGTTTGGCGCCTGCCTTTGGCCCAGGGCGCGATCCTGGAGACCCGGGATCGAATCCCACATCGGGCTCCCGGTGCATGGAGCCTGCTTCTCCATCTGCCTATGTCTCTGCCTCTCTCTCTGTGACTATCATAAATAAATAAAAATTAAAACAAAAAAAAGGACTAAATTAAGTGATCTCAAATAAAATATTTCAAGAATTCACACACAAAAAATTTAAATACAAAGAGAAAACAAGAATGGAAGAGTGACAAACCAAAGTGGGTGAGTCTATGCATGAGAGCCCTTCCTGACTATACTGATCAGACACAGAACAAAGTACTAGAGGCCCCATGTCATGGGCCAGCCTGCCTTTTCCTTTCTCCCAGGATGGTTCTGTCTTCTTTACCTTGCTCCTCTGGTTGGGCTTCAGGTTCCAGAGACTCAAATTTTAGTTGCACCGTCAGGGGTGGAAGGGACGTGCTGGGCTCCTGCTCTGTCCCCAGAGGGCCCATGTCCTGCAAGGGCTTTTCCTGTTCCTCAGTGTGGACCAAGACCTGGGGCAGGAGAGACACAGTTCAGACACTCTGCAAACAGCAAACAAGAGGATACAGTCCAGGGCAGGGACACCAGCTCCCCGATACCTGAACTTCTCTCCAGACACCAGTCTGTCCTAAGCCTACTCATGGCACCTCCTCTGGGAAACCTTCCCTTCTCTCGTTCTTCACAGCTACAAAATGCTGGTTGTACCACCTTCACTTCATTTATGCTCGAAGAAGTGGAGAAAGGGAAGGGAGGCAGAAAGGAAGAGAACAGAACTTGGGGGAGAATAAAACAGGAGAAGGAAAACAGGGCGGGGATAAGCAGAGAGGAACGAAGGACAGAGGGGCTGAAGAAGGCAGAAGGAAACTAAGAGGGAGGAGGATGGAGAGGAGGTCTCCTCCCTACAGACTCTGCCCTGCCCAGGCCCCCACCCCACTTCCTTCTGGGAGATGACCTTGATTTCTCCTTGTACATGGTCAAGGTCACGGTCACATCAGGACCGCCCACCCTTCATTTCATCACCCCCCCACACACACACACACACACTTCTCCTTTGGTTCCCACTTAGAGGAAAAGGCCTTTTCTTGTTTGAGGCTTGTATTTCCACCCTTGCCTTCAACCCCATCCCTTCTTGCACCCTTAACCCCTGCTCCTGCAACTAACTCATTTATCAGTTTAAGCTGCCATATAGCTTCCATGCCTAGACAAAACAATTCCCCTTGTATTTGAAAATAATTGGTTTCCCCAGCAGGGTGCAAAATGCAGGGGCCAGGGACCGCTTAGTCTGTTTCTTAGTTCAGTAGCTCTGTGACCATGGCCCAGTTACTCGGACCGTATGGCACTGATTGTGTACCAAAGCACCTCACCTGGGGGGGGGGCACTGGCACACACCAGGCCCTCAAACTGCTCCCCAATCCCTTACAGTGGCTAAATTTTGTAAATAAGAAATCACCACACACTGCCTCTATTCCGACTCAGTTTCATTTTGTAACCTCTGACCCCAGAATAAGAGCCAGAATTAGCATGATGCTATCTGAGATGGACAGAAAAAGATGTGTCCACCTCAAAAGTGGAAGGAGAAAAAGGCTGGTACAGTGAGCTATGCCTTCCACCCATGGATCTCTGGCAGGGCCTCAAAAATCAAGTTTAAATTCCATTAGCTGCCCCCAGCGTGCTCTGAGGGAAAGGGCTAGTAGGTAAACAAACTCAACATGTTTAAAACCAAATTACTGTGCTGCACTTGAGAACTCTGCTTCTTTCTTCTGGTTCTGCCTAGAATGGTGCCTGGTACAAAAATCAACATTCAGTATATGTCTTCTGAATGAGTGGACTTTTCCTTAATCCACCTTCCCCTATACCTTGAACTCTGTTAGGAGCACCTGGATCACACTGGAAAATCTTAAGCTGGAAATCCCCAGTGCTCAGCCTAGAACAGAATCCTCGGTAGACAGTTTTCATCCTGCCTTTTTCATCCACTAGTCTGTCATTGTTTCCAATTAACTTATGGACGACATGCTTCATCCTTGTAGACTCACCATCACAACTCCATTTCAAACTCACATCCCTCTCCAGTGTTTCTGCCCCAATGCTGGAATGCACTTCTTGTTTGATTAGTTACCTGTCTTATACTCTTCCTACCAAGACTTCCCAGCCTTGACTTTATGACAAGTTGGGTCAGATAATTCTTTGTGGTATGCGGCCGTCCTATACACTGTAAGATATTCCCCAATGTCCCTGCCTGTTAGCCACTAGATGCCAGTAGCACCTCACCCTATCTGACAACCCAAAATGTCCCAAGACGCTGTCAGATGCCTCAAGGGCACAAAATTGCCACCGGTTGGGAACCACTGTCTTTTAACAATGTTTAAACAAAACAGAACAGAACAAGCTTCTATAACTTTGGTTACATCCTGGGGTTAGAGAAACTCATTTAGATTTAAAGAGAAACAGAAGCTTGTGTCCTACAGAATAAAATCTACACTCCAGAGATGATATTCAAGGTCCTGGACTCTCTGTTCTCAACCCTTCTACTTACAACTTGCCTGTCCAACCTAAATGGGCTTTCTCCTACTCCAGGCAACTTGGCTCCTGCCCTGGCCCTCAATCCTAACCTTCCACTCTGCTCCAACCTCACACGTCTCCAAGGTGGAGACTTTGATTTTGCCATCTTTTAATTCTTTAATGGAGGCAGAGCAGCAGATACACTATACTGCAAAACAGAAGTGATGTCTGTTTCAAACGACTGTTGCCCACCCCATTACCATGACCTAACATTTCCTCTTAGAAATCTGTTTCCAATGTTTTTGAGCAGCATTTCACCAACTAGAACTCTGTAGGCCTAGTACAGAAATACACGATCCTTCCACAGAAAAAAATATAATTTTAACCAACTTTCCAAGAGGGTTGAGCCTGATGCACCAGACTGTCAAGAACAAATTTTGTGAAACAATGCTGCACTTCACTCTGGCCTAGAAATCCATAATCTACCTTTTCTCAATCATAAACCAGATCTCTTTTTCTCACCTGTTCTCTGGGCTCATCCAGCTCCCTCTCCAGGTCCTCCAGCACGGTCACCACCTCCTCCCCACTCTCAGGGTGCTGCTCCCGCACCCAGGCCTGGAGTTCCTCGGGCAGGATGGTCAGGAACTGCTCCAGAACTAGCAGCAACAGGATCTGCTCCTTGCTGTCGGTCTCAGGGCGCAGCCACTGGTGGCAGAGCTCCCGGAGCCGGCTCAGGGCCTCGCGGGGCCCAGATGTTTCCCGGTAGCATAACTGCCTAAAGTACTGCCGGAAGACTTCTCTGCTGTGGGTGTTGTTCTTCTGCAGGTTCTGATCCCGTGTGGTGGTATCCTTACACTCCTTTTCCTCTTCCTCGATCTTTACTTCCAAAAGCTCATCCGGGTCCTCGTGGGCCTGGGCTGCCCAAGTAGATGCCATCGTGTCTGTCTTCAAAAGCTTTGTCAACGCTTTTGGCAAGAATCCCTGGTCAAGTTCGTCCTGAGCCGACCCGAGGGAGAAGCCATCCCTTCTAACACAGGCTACACCACAGGCAAAAATGGCAAACTCTAACAATTTACTTTGTGCTTTGAAAGCCTCCTCCAGGTTAATTGACGATACTCGGGGAAATGCTCTGATTACAAGAGATTTAAGAACAGACTAAAGAGAAGTATTAAGTAAAAGATGCCAAGTGGTCTGAGGATTTACAAACGAATACGACGCGGCAGAAACACCTGCATTCTGTTCTAGAATAAAGGGCAAAGCGCATACAACTAAGTTTAGAGCAAATAAGCAGTAATAAAAGACATCCTTCCTGTCTCCTTTGTTCTGCTCGCCTTTGTTCTGTGACCGCCGGAAGTGCGGCGGAAGCCCAGAAGTTGGCAGGCAGCGGCCGCGGGACTTTATCCCCGCGGGCGCAGCCTCCGCTCCTTCCCCGCGGCCCTCCGAGGACGGGAGAGGGCCGCACGCTCGCTCACCCGCGGCCGGCAGAGGCCAGAGCACTTACCCCTCCCGGGCACGAAGGGCCGTGGCCTAGAATAGGCGCGGAGCCAGAACAGCCGACAGCGCCCCACAAAGGCCGGAAGCGAGCGAGGTCCGCGAGCACGCACTTCCGCCACAGCCGCAGGCGGGCGGGCGACTCGCCGCAGTTCCCGCGGTCCCCGCGAGGTCGCGAGAGTTAGGCGGGTGGGAGCGCGTGCGCCCTCCCCGGCAGCCGTAGGGAGGGGCGAGCTAGCAGGTGCAGTAGCTCTCTCTGCCCCCCCCCCACGGTGGGCGAGGCCCGGCACACCTCGAGTAGGTGCCACTTTGTCCTATAATGCTTTTTATAACTTATTCGAGTCAACTTGGCAATGTTTTGTTGGGGGTTTGCATCCCTGTTCGTGGAAAATAACTGCCGGTTTTCCTTCTATGACCTTGACCCCATGGCGCGCGGCTTTCTGTAGGAGGCTGACCTCGAGGAGGCGGCACCGCGGACGGGCCGGGGCGACGGTGGCCGCGGCGCCTACTGGAACGGGATGGCCCTTGGTGGGGATGGACGGGGGAGGAGGGCCGCGGGTGTGTGTGTGGCCACAGCAGAGCCCCCAAGCACGGAGAGCATCCCCGTCGTTTACAGGGAGGAGACCCATGGACGTAGGGATGCAGAGCAGACACCAAAGGTATAGAAACGAATCTCCAGAAAACTCATTCCTCACTTTCCGTCCAAGTTTATTCCTAACATTTGGCCATTTTATAAACCAGGTAATGCTAATTTATAAGAGAGTGTTTCTTGTGATAATTTGATGAGCCTTCTAACTACTAAAAAGAGGGGGAAAAAAGCAGACTTTGAGATCCAAGGCTCAGGAAATAAATGGTGAAACTAATGTCAGAAGATCACTTTACTTTGTGTATAAAATATGAACGTATACACTTGATTAGCTCATAATCATGTTGGGTGTATTTAGGGAAGTTGAAAGGAAGCAAGAAAGGAGGAAAAAGTTGAACAATTATTTAGGAAAAGAGAATCCCAAAGGAACTTTATTATTATTTTTGCCCCAAGCTTTAAATCTGGGTGGACAAGGCTGTTTTGGAAAATTAAAGATGGCTACAAATTCGTCAGCACTTTTACCATTAGGAGGTAATGTCATTTGGGGGTCTATGTCATTTTCCCTTAAGTCTGAGTCGATTTGATGACTGCTCTAATAAAATACAGCAAGAGTGATGCTGCTTAAGTTTTCCAGCCTGAGCCTTTAGAGAACAGCAGCTTTCACTTTTTGTTTTCTGGAACAACTGCTTTTTTTTTTTTTTTTCCATTTGTTTTTGTTGAAGTTCAATTTGCTAACATATAACACCCAGTGCTCATTCCATCAAGTGCCCTCCTCAGTGCCCATCACCCAGTTACCCCAATCCCCTTCCCACCTCCCCTTCCACAACTCTGTTCGTTTCCCAAAATTAGTAGGAGTCTCTCATGGTTTGTCTCCCTCTCTAATTTTTCCCATTCAGTTCCCCTCTTTCCCCTTATCATCCCTTTTACTATTTCTTATATTCCTTGTATGAGTGGAACCATAATGATTGTCCTCCAATTGACTTACTTCACTCAACACAATACCCTCTAGTTCCATCCATGTCGAAGCAAATGGTGGGTATTCATCCTTTCTGATGGCTGAGTAATATCCCATTGTGTGTGTGTGTGTATATATATATATATATATATATACCAATATATACCACATCTTTATCCATTCATCTCTCAAAGGACATCAAGGCTCCTTCCACAGTTTGGCTATTGTGGACACTGCTGCTATGAATGTTGGGGGTGGTGTCCTGGCGTTTCACTACATCTGTATCTTTGGGGTAAATACCCAAAAGTGTAATTCCTAGGTCATAGGGTAGCTCTATTTTTAACTTTTTGAGGAATGGCTGCACCCGTTTGCATTCTTACCAACAGTGCAAGATGGTTCCCCCTTCTCCACATCCTCTCCAACATTGGAACAACTGCTCTTGGAGCCCTGAGCCATCACAGAAAAAGTCTGAGTGCCCTGCTGAAATCATCAAATAAAGAGGCCCTGCAACCATCTTTCTACCTGTCCCTGTCCCCAGTGCACTGGACATGGCACTGCACTGTCTTGGATTTTCCAGACAAACCCAGCTGCCAGATGAAGTGCCAGTAGAAGATGCCACATGAAATGGAAGACTCTCCCAGCTGAGCCCTTCCAAAATTCCTGGCCAAAAACATCATGGGATGGCTATCTAAGCCATTGTTTTGGGGTAGCTTTTTATGCAGCAACAGATAACCAGATCATGTTTACTATTACGGCTTGGTTAGACGATTCCCTGAGAATATTAAATTTCCTTAGGTTAAATGGTATAGTCTACAGGGAATTTTCAATTTGTAATTGATTTCTCAACTACTAACCAGAAAAAGATGTGGAAGATATGCTACATTTTTTTTTTTTGCTATTTTTTTAAGTTGAGAAGTTTATTAGGGAAATATGAGAAGCAAAGACACTCCAGTGACATGAAGAAAATTCTGAAAATGTCCCTTCAAGCCAAGTTGGGGCCTGGCCTTGACCTCCCCAAAAGGACAAGAAAGCGATGAGTTAGCAACAAAACTCTGTGGTGGCCACCTTACCAGGACATGAGGGACTCAGCCAGGACTGCCTCTCAGTTCTCCACCAAAGGCTGAGAGGAGACAAAGATTGTTTATAGAACCAACAGCAGAAACCATGAGAGCTCTAAGGAAAGTCTGAGAGAGAGGAAGGGAGGACTGTAACAAAGTCCCAGGGGTTTGGCTCTGAGCACCTCAAATACATTGACAAATAGTTCCACAAGATGTTACTTAAAAGGTAAAATGCCTAATGTTTCTGAGTTCCCCAGGTCCACAACCAGCTGTTTTATTTTTTTTAAAGATTTTATTTATTCATGAGAGACACACAGAGACAGAGGCAGAGACACAGGCAGAGGGAGAAGCAGGCTCTATGCAGGGAGCCCGATGTAGGACTCGATCCTGTGACTCCAGGATACACCCTAGGCCAAAGGCAGGTGCTAAACCACTGAGCCACCCAGGGATTCCCCAGTTTATTTTAAGTAATCTTTACCTACAACATGAGTCTTGAACTCATGACACCGAGATCAGGAGTCACTGGTTCCTCTGACTGAGCCAGCCAGGCGCCCCCAACCTGATGTTTTGTTTTGTTTTTTTTTTTTAAGGTTTATTTATTTATTTATTTATTTATTTATTTATTTATTTATTTATTTATGATAGAGAGAGAGAGAGAGAGAGAGAGAGGCAGAGACACAGAGAAGCAGGCTCCATGCTAGAAGCCTGACGCGGGACTCGATCCCGGGACTCCAGGATCGTGCCCTGGGCCAAAGGCAGGCGCCAAACCACTGAGCCACCCAGGGATCCCCAACCTGATGTTTTTAATAAGTTAGTTGCAAGTGGGGAGATAAGGAAGAGGAAACTATCTATTTAAAAAAAACTTAAGAGACATATCAACCAAAGTATGTCTTCTTCTTGGGATCCTAATTCAAACAAATAAGCTAAAACAAAAGAAATTTAAAAATTCATGACATCATTGAGACAACTAGAAATTTGGTACCAAAGGATTATTGCTAATATTTATACATGTCATAATACTATTATGGTTAAATAAATTCCTGTCTTTCAGTCATACCTCTAAGAATCCATCTTTTGAGCTATATATTGAAATATTTACATTTGAAAAAATATATCTGAGATGTACTTCAAAATTATATGGAAAAAATAATACGGCAATGAGTTATAAATGAGAAAGATGGTCATAATTTGATCATGTTGAAGCTGGGTGGCAGGTTCATGGAGATTCATTATGCAATTTTTTATATAGATTTGTACTTTTTCCAGAATAAAAAGAAAAAAAAAGTTTGTGGCTTTTAGTTGGTAGTATGTAAAAAAAAGAAAGAAAAAAGAGGCAACTTAAAAACCCTCCATGGCTAGTTAAAAAATAATTTGAGCTTTTCCCGTAGGAGCCACTGGGTTGAGAGGAGTGCAGTCCTCTCCTCTTCATGGTGTGTACTCATCCACTGATATCTGTGTACTCTGAAAAGAGGTCATTTGGCAAAAATGTTACCTTGCCTGCTGTGCTCAAGGCTCCCATTCAACCTGATATTGTGAACTCTGTTCACACCAACTTGTGCAAAAACAACAGATGACCCTATGCTGTCAGTGAATTAGGAGGTCATCTAGCCAGTGCTGGCCTCCCAGGGTACAAGGTGATGGGACTCACCATTATAGCCAGGGTTTCTGGGAATATGTGCTGTGGGAGCTGCACGTTTGTACCAAGAAAACAACACAGAAGCAACAATGCTATCTGCTCTACCCTGGCTGCATGAGCCTTTCCAGCACTGGTCATGTCTATAGGTCATTGTACTGAGGAAGTTCCTGAACTTCCTTTGTTGGTTAAAGATAAAGTTGAAGGCTACAAGAAGACCAAGGAGGCTGTTTTTGCTTCTTAAGAAACTTAAAGCCTGGGTGGCTTAGTCGGTAAAGCATCCAACTCTTGATTTTGGCTCGTCATGATCTCAGGATTGTGGAATGGAGCCCCGTGTTGGGCTCTGCACTCAGTGGGGAATCTGCTTGAAGATTCTCTCCCTCTGCCTGTCCATACCCCCATTTCTCTCCCTCTTTCAAATAAATAAATCTTAAAAAAAAAAAAGGAAGGAGAAGAAGAAGAAAAAACCTTAAAGCCTGGAATCCACTGAAAAACCTGGGAATCACAGTGAAGCTAGACCTGTACACAAAGACCACGTGCCAGAACATCATTCTTCGCTAGGCCAAGAGTCACAATCCAGAGCAGCAGCCTTAGAAGCCAAATCAGATGAGAAGGGGTTTCTGGGCAAGAAGCCTGTGTTAGGGAAGAAAGTAAAAAAGGCTGTTGGTGTTGGAAGCAGAAGGAACGTTTGGTGGGAAAAGGCCACAGCTACCAAGAAACCAGTAGCTGAGAAGCAGCTTGAAGGGAAGAAACCTATCACAGAAGACAAGAAGCCTGCTGCATAAGCTTAAATTTGTTTGTTCTCTAACAGTTGAACCATTTTGGACAGCTAATTTTGAATAAAGACCTGATCAAAGGCAAAAAATAACAATAATTTGATACCCATAAAATGAAACCTGTAAGTGGGATGCCTGGTGGTTCAGTGGTTGAGTGTCTGCCTTCAGTTCAGGGGGTGATCCCGGAGTCCTGGGATCCAATCCTGCCTTGGGCTCCCTATGGGGAGCCTGCTTCTCCCTATGCCTATGTCTTGGTGTCTCATGAATAAACAAAATCTGGGCAGCCCCGGTGGCTCAGTGGTTTAGCGCTGCCTGCAGCCCAGGGCATGATCCTGGAGACCCAGGATCAAGTCCCACGTCAGGCTCCCTGCATGGAGCCTGCTTCTCCCTCTGCCTATGTCTCTGCCTCTGTGTGTGTGTGTGTGTGTCTCGTGAATAAACAAATAAAAATATTTAAAAAAAATCTTTAAAAACAAAAAAAGAAAAAAATTTATGCTAGCAATATGTATGCATAACATGTAACTCTTATGGATATGTCCATAATGTATTATTAAATTTAATAGTAGTGGCAGTTGATATGTTCAGTATGATTATATTTGAGCATATACGTGTGCTTCTCTAACAAGCACATAAAAATACTAAATTTGTTTCCTGCACTAATTTTTTCAAAATGCACATTTAGAAATTTTTGTATTGCACGTAGCCTTTGAGTCATTTTCTATTGGCTTCAATGAAGAAAAATGTTCTGCCTCTGGGATAAGAGGAAGTTGGTAGGGATCAGGGAAGTCGGTAGTATTAAGTTAGAATGGAGGAACTGAACCATTCAATAGGAGTGAATTTTCAACAATTTTAGTCAAAGAAGTGAAGGAAGAATCACAAGGTGAAAACAATGTGTTTAGAGGAACAGGTTAAAAGTGGAAAAAAAGAGCAAGTGAAAGGTAGGGAAAAATGTTAGTGATGAGGTTTGTTTGGAAAAACACAAGAAGACATTTCCTATCTTTTCCCCCGTTGGGATCTCCTCACCTTTCTCCTGAACAGGGTGCAGCTCCCAAGGTTCAGAAGTGAGCTGACCCATTCTGGCTGGAGCCAACTCTGGGGTGAGTCCTGTGCTGCTGCCACATAAGCTGTTTGCCCCTGGGTCCCTTCCTGTCGCTGCAGGAGGACTAGGACCCAGGGACAATGAGATAAATTTGACCAGGAAGCTATATGCTGAGAGTTCTAGAGCTTCAATCCCAATATCAATGGGGAACATAGATCAGGAGGACAGAGGTTTCCTTGACCAAGGGCAGGGATTAGAAGGACAGGGAGGGGAACACAACTCTGGCCAATACATCTTTTTTTTTTTAAGATTTTATTTATTCATGAGAGACACAGAGGGAGAAGCAGCCCCCCCCCCCCCCCCCCCAGGGAGCCCAATGCAGGACTAGATCCTGGGACTGGGATCATACCTTGAACCAAAGGCAGACGCTCCACCGCTGAGCGACCCAGGAGTCCCTAGCCAATACATCTTGACAATTTCCCTCCCTACATGTGAGAGGAGATCACAACTCTCTTATCTCTCTCTGGAGAGAATACCTGCCTTCCGATGATAGATCACTTCTTCCTTATCTCACCCTTTGTCTGGGATGATCCAGCTTCCTGGACAAGCCTTCCAAGTCCAGCAACAGCCTCCTCCCTATCCCCTGGGCTGCTCCTGCACCTGGGCTGGGAGCTCTCCCACAGGGTGGTCAGTAGCCCTGGCTCCAGAAAGTCCAAGCCCTGCTCCTTGCTGTGCAACTCTGGTCTCAGCCACTGACAGCAGAGGGTCTGGAGTTGGCCTTCTGAGGCCCAGAAGAATCCTCCCAGCAGAACTGCCTTAAGTTTCGTCTGAAGAAATCCTGTCAGAAGGACCACTTCTGTGCAGGTTAGATTCTGCTACTCACATTCCTTCTGTTCTTCTGCAGCCCAGAAGGGCTGGATTGAATCCATTCCTGGGCAAACTGCTCAGAAGACTGGCTCATTATAACAGCAGGGGGAACTTAAGGCTCATGATAACACATAACACAACACTTAACAGATCAGCTCCAAAGGAAGAACATATTTAGTCAGAGTGAATCGCTATGATCAAGCCAGTGATTTGAAGGTAGAGATGCTCTGTAAAAGATAAAATGAACACAAACTGTCATTAGGATACTGTCATAAAATTATGCAAAACACATTACTTTAGGATTAAAGAACAATACTAGTAACTTAGATCTAGAAACTTCAGTGGCATATTCAGATAACAAAATATTCAGGTAACGAAGAAAAAACAATGCAAACAGTTGTCCGCTTAAGCTGCATGTCACAGGTTTAGTCAGTTATATTTACAAATCAACCTGTCTGCCAAGAATTGTGATAGATATGTTCCAAGGCGTTCTTAGTTTTAAAAAAGAACAGTGTGCATGTCAGTCAATGTGTCCCAAATTTGAGTCAAGAGTCCCAAGTCAATTAACTGAAGCCCCCTTTGTACATAAACCCAGTGAGTATTTTTCAGTTCTTATCAGATGCCCCTGCAGCACCTAACACTGCTAGCCACTCCCAGTCTTACAAGGAACTGCAATCTTGTGGCTGTTTTTCCATAAGTTGGTATCTGTAAAGTGCTTAGACCAATGCCTGGTGCTCAGGGAGTTTTTGTTTTGTTTTTTAAGATTTTATTTACTTATGAGAGCACAGACAGATGAGAGAAGCAGGCCCCTCATGGGAAGCCCAATGTGGGATTCCATCCCCAGACCCGGGATCATACCCTGAGTAGAAGGCAGACGCTCAACCACTGAGCCACTCAGGCATCCCCAGGATGTATTATATAACACTTGTCATAACTCATTCTTAAGTCTACTTTATGGCTCTCCTTCAGCTTGTCAAGAAATGTCTGGTACCGTAAGTTGAGACCCAGCCATCTTCTCATTCCATTTTCATGCTGGGCAACCTTGTCCATTCAGTAGTAGCATCTGAGAAGTGAGATGTTGTCACCTAAGAACTCCTAAATCTGATTCTTTTTTATCCCAATCTTGCTTTGGAGCTCCAGACCATTATAGTCCAATGGTGTATCAGACCCTTCCACTTGCATGTATTAAAAGCAGCTCTTGGGATGCCTGGGTGGCTCAGTGGTTGAGTGTTTGCCTTCAGCTCATGATCCCAGGGTCCTGGGATTGAGTACCACATCGGGCTCCCTGTAGGGAGCCTGCTTCTCCCTCTGCCTATGTTTCTGCCTCTCTCTGTCTCTCTCATGAATAAATAAATCTTAAAAAAAAAAAAGGCATCTCAGCACCACCAAAATTAACTCATTTTCCCCCCATAATTAATGTCTCCTCCAAAATTACCTACCTACCTCACTCCTTCCTTCCCCCATCTCTTTTAAAATGGCACATTCACGGGGCACCTGGATGGGTCAGTCAGTTAAGCATCGGACTCTTGATCTCAGCATTTTATTTTATTTTTTATGATAGGCACACAGTGAGAGAGAGAGGGGCAGAGACACAGGCAGAGGGAGAAGCAGGCTCCATGCACCGGGAGCCCCACGTGGGATTTGATCCCGGGTCTCCAGGATCGCGCCCTGGGCCAAAGGCAGGCGCCAAACCGCTGCGCCACCCAGGGATCCCGATCTCAGCATTTTAAATTCAAGCCCTGCATTGGGTTCCATCCTGGGTGTGGCACCTATTTAGAAAAAATGGCATATTCATTCACCTAATCATCTAATTAAAAAAACTAATTATTCCTGGCTATATTTTGCTTTATTATTTTTTCTAAAGATTGTATTTATTTGAGAGGGTGAACAGGGGAGAAACAGGGAGAGGGACAAGCAGACTCCAAGCTGAACATGGAGGCCTTTCACCAAGTTATAGTATTGGTTCTTTCTGTGACAACAGCACATCCCTTCTAGCTTCTAGTCTTGCCCCCTTCCAATTCATTTACCACAATGCTTCTAGAATATTCCTAGTAGCCTATTAGGATTATATTACTAAGCTGTCTGTAGAGTAGACCTTCCCATCTACCGTGGATGCCACAGTTCACCGGGTGCCTAGATAGTGCCAGCATACTGATGAGCATAACTGGCACAGCTGCAGCCCTCGGCCTGGTCTCTTCTGCAAGGCGGCTGCACTGCTGTTATGTTAAATGTATGAGCTGTTACATTAAACATGGAGCAGCACAGTGCCTTTCAATGTTTAGGACCCTTGGCATACCCAGTTATTACTACTTTCCTCTGGGCCCCAGCTACACCACACCCGCCTTCTTTCGTTTCAATTTTCTCATCTGTCACCCACAATCAATCCCCTAAGGGCCATTTCTTTCCTCTTCGCTGTCTGCCTCCAATTGAGAGACCGCTCTAATGGCTTCAGGGGGGTGACCTCTAACTCGCCCCGGCCCGCCTCCCAAGGCCTATATGAAGCTTACTTCCCTGAGGCACTTACACTATACTGTCATAGTTTCCTCATCACACGGTAATGTCTGTTCCCGTGCTTAAGGCACGCACGGCGCCCACCAGACGGCCGTGCTACCTTGTGGACCCGTTCTTGGCCATAGGATCTCACGAGGCGCTGCCCTCGGCCCCTCGACATTATGCAGGTCACGCTGCCGTATTTCAGTGAGAGCCTCCCCTGCACTACGTGCAATCCCACGATCATTCCCCCAGGATTTTTCACTAGTACTCCGGCAAAAACACCACCTGCGGACCACACCAGCGCTGCGCAGCGCCTGTGTCCGCCAAGGCTGCCCAGGTCTTGTGGGTCCAGGCTATAGCCATCCTGCCTGCGGGCAGAGAACCAGCCTCCCGCCCACGCCCGCACCCGCGACGGAAGGGGCACCCTGGGACAGCGGCGCCCGCAAGACCGGAAGTGCGTCACGACCCCCGAGCGCGCCTCCGCCGGCTCCTCGCCGCCTCTCTAGGGAGTTAGAGGGCCCGTCATCTCAGTGGTTAGTTGGCTCCCACCCGCAGCGGGGCCTCACAACCGCTCGGGAAGGCGGCTTGGCCTGGTGTCCGGCAGCCCTGGTGCCTGGGCCCAGGTCTCTCTACTCCACTGAGGACACCGGGCCCCTGGTCGATGGAGGTCCTGCCCGCAGGGTCCCTGAAGATGCCCGCTGTCCAGATAACAGTCCACTCCAACCCCCCGGGCCCCGGAAGCAAGGCTGGCTTGCTCTTCATTGTCTGCAGGCCTCGTTCACACAACTTGGGTCCTTCTGGGTAACGGAACCGCATCAGATCCCTGACTACTGGGCTGGCAGAAAGCTAGGAGGATACCACCCCCTACCCCTACCCCACCCTATCCTCGGGAACAACATGCTGATTTAGGCCTCTTATCTGGGTGAAATTAGTAACCGTTCCTTTCATTCTCAAGTGTCCCAAATTGGGCAATAAATTACATATATGATTACCTTATATCTGAGAATCACTGATAAACTAGCTAAAATACTCCCAGGTTCTGCCCTCAGAAACATTCAGCCAGTCTGGGGTAGTGCCCAGGAAACTGCAGTTCAAACAGCGCAGGGGGTTCTAACACAGGTATATATTCAAAAACAGTGGCTTCATCAAAGAGCTGAGATGCTGGCATGGAAAACTGGGTGTGGGTGCAGACCTAAAAAAAAGTCAGTAATTTATACACTGTGCTCTTCTCTTTCTTTTTTATGTAAAGCACCAAAATGAGTAAGGAGTGAAGAGCAGAGGGACTGTTTTCACTGTTAAGACAAGTGGACTAACAGAGACAAAGGGATCTCTAGTAAAAGGTATTATAAAGATAAAGCACATTTTTTGGTAACACTGTCTCTGCATCTTTTTATTTTTCCTTATCTTTGGTCAGCATCTGTTGGTCTAATCCAGTTTTAACATGTAATTTTGCCTGAGTCCTTAAGTTCTCACATTTTGTTCTTCACTTTCCTCTTTCCCTCTCATTTTGTTGCTACTGCTGTTTGCAGATGCCTGAATTGTGTCCCGGGCTACATGAAATTACGTATAATTCACAATGATCTCTGTTCATAGTTTTGCTTTTAAAAATTTTAAAGTGATTAAAAAATAGATCAGTACAAGTGTTTAACCACTCTAGGCTTCACCTTTCTCATGTAGATATGAATGGGTAAACTCAAAATTTCTTCTTAAAGGTAGAATTCTCTGATTCTATGTTAAAAACCTCCTCCTATAGCACAACAAATACTTTCAGTGATTCCACTATGCTTACCAAATGCACAGGAAAGTGTTTAAGGATCTCTCAATCTGGCCCCACTCCTGCACTTCCTTGCAGGAGCTCCGTGACGTGACCTGGCCAAACTGGAAAACGTGTGGATCTTGAATATATCTTAATCGGGCCCTCCTCACCCTCTTCTCTCTGCCACAAATACTTTCCTCTATCCTCCATTTCCTTCTACAAATAATCTATTTTCCTCTCAACTTCTTTTGTAAAAGAATTTTTTTAAAGACTCATTTATTTGCCAAAGAGTGGGAAAGCATAAGCAGGGGGAACAGAGGGAGAAGGAGAAACAGACTCCCTGCTAAGGGGGGAGCCTGACACAGGGCTCGATGACGCAGGGCTTGATCCCAGGAGCCCAGGATCATGACCCAGTGGAAGGCAGCTGCCTAACTGACTAAGCCACACAGACACCCTTACTTTTCTCTCAACTTCTAACTTAAATTAACATTGAACCACAGACACACTTGTATACTGGTACAGACTTTATATTTCAAAATTGCTCCTGAGAAAAATACTTCATATTTTATAATTTTGACTTTAGATAAACGTTTTAAAAAAGATTTTATTTGAGAGAGAGAGCAAGCACAAGCAGGGGGAGCAGCAGAGGGAGAAACAGGCTCCTTACTGAGCAGGGAGCCAGATGCAAGGCTCAACTCCAGGACCCTGAGATGACCCAAGCCAAAGGCAGACGTTTAACCAAATGAGCCACCCAGCTACCTTGACTTTAGGTATACTTTTATTTTAAAATCTCCTCAGAGATAACTTTGTCTTACTGGAAAAGTATAAAACACTCTTCCACTATAAATAATAAATTTTAAAGGAAAAGTATTGTCAGATACAGAAAATAGGAGTCATTTCCAAATACAAAATGTGGACAGAGACTTGGTTCTCCTTGTGTCTTGACCTTCAAATAAAAATTACAGTGAAAGAATCTTTAGGGCTCTTATCTACATCTCTAGATAGGTGTTAGTTGCAAAATTCTCAGCCATTTTTTCCTTACAGTGTCCAGTCTCCTAGCAGTGTTCAGAGGGGTCCTGGACTATCCCTCAAGAACCAACAGGCTTTTTAATTGGATTTCAATCAGTATTTCTTATACCTTGCTCAGCTGTAAAACTGACTACTCTTTCAGATTAGACTTTCAAAAGCATACGGATAGATGGTTGCTGGCTTAACAGAGATCACTGCCAGAGACTTCGTGGGTTGAATAAAAAGAGCCAGGGTAGAGAAAGAAGAGAGAGAAGCGGGGGTAATTTAGGAATGTAAAAGGGACACAAGCAAGAACTTCTGGCCAGGAAGGCTGGAATAATCACAGAATAGCCAGGGTCTGCATGCCATTGTCTACAGGCCACATCAAACATTAGTTTTCAGGGAATGACAAATATGCATCCCAGATAAGAGAATTAGCACAATTAGTATCAGAAACAAGTAAAGTTAGTTTAGTGAACTGTAAGTAATTTTAATCACGTTAACCATCACTGCATTCTAAGTGGCACATATCTGTACAGCATATATAACATCTTTTGTTTCTTGGTATTTCATCAGTTGTTGAGAAAATTTAGAATTTTTGAGAAGCTGTGAAAAAAAAAAAAAAAAGACAAGCACAAAACAAACCAAACAACCAATCCTCAACTGCAGGTGTAAAACAATCCATTAGAAATACATTCTTTAAAATTCTGATCTGTTCATATTTTAAATCTTTTAAGAGCTGATATAGCGGAATTATCCAAATATGCTGCTTCGGTATATGCAGATGCATTTGAAATATTTATGAACTCAGATTACAATTGTATATGTATTATATTACTATATGGAATATATATTTATTTGAGAAGTAGATTTTATTTCAAACTTAAGTCTACTATATTTTCCTTCACTTTCAAATCCACATGTACACTTTTGGAAATCATTTAAGCTCGAGACACAGTAAAATACACTCTTGAGAAAATTTAAGATTTGGGGAAAGACCTGCAATTAGCCACAAATGGTGACAGAAATGGTTTGAAATATTATAAATAAGGATATATAATAGAGCCAAATACACGAGACTGAAAATCACCCCATCACTTCTGCATTTCTCTGTAGAAGAATTAGGTGCAACTCTAGTTACTCAAACCCTATTTCCTAGCTCATGTGGAAGTTGTTAGTTTTTAAATGGTTTGGCTTGAACCAAATTTGGAAAAAGAATGAAACAATCTGTGACACTGTAAAGTAGTGATTGTGCATCTACGGGAGTGTGTCAAACTGCAAGAGCACCAATAAATCAAATACTGTCCCCACTAGTAAACAGAACGAAGAAGCTCTGTTACTCTAAAGACTACTGTTTCATGAACACAGAAAGGTCTAGAGTATCATCTTTCTGTGTAACAGAGGAAATAAGGTTATATATACTAACGTTTTCTTGTATTTACATAAACACTGAGGATACATAAGATACTAGGAAAATGGCTATCTATAAGGTCAAAGATAGGCTCCCTTTTTAATGTTGTTCTGATACTTGAACTGGATGAAGAATGAGTTATTTTTCTTGAAAACTCTGGCTAAGTAAATTAAAATTTAAAAGTTAAAAATAATCAGGTTGCCTGCTGTTTCAAGTCAGTGGAGTGTGTATGTTACTCTTGATCTTGGGGTTGTGAGTTCAAGGCCCATATTTGAGGTATAGAGATTACTTAAAAATAAAATGCCCCAAGTGAGGGATAAGTGGTGAGTCTTTCCTGGAACTGAATAGAGGAGCTGTGCATTTACTAAAACACACAGATGGGAGGCTTTGTTGAGCTAAAAAAGCAAAGCCTCAGTGCCTTCTAAATCTTGTAAGTTCCATTTACTAGTAATTTCTATTTGGAGATAAAATGCTTCCAGTGGCTTAATAGAAAGAGCACTGGGAATTAGGAGACAGAGTTCTAGCTCCAGCTTCATTAATTAGCTATCTGTATGATCTTACAGTTGCTTCCCAGAACCTCCATTTCTATATCAATCATACAAGGGGGCGCAGAAGTGATCTCTGAGAACCCTTACAGTGTTTCTATTATTAAGGCGTATTTGGTACTCCAATCCAGATTGTCATCACCAGAGAGTTTCCATTTCTTTGTGTCCTGGGCTTAGTATAAAGTAAACACTCAGTTACTTTAGGGGAAAGAAGTTTTTTTTAATGCATGACCTTGGTGGTAATCAATAGGTAGTGCTGAGAAGCATGGAGCTTATAAAAAGCCAACAACATGGAAGACTGATAATACTTTTCTCCTTTTTTATGTATTTGAAAATATCCATAACTAGGGGTTAAAGAAAGCAAAAACTGAAAACGCTTGTAAGTCACAGGAAAAATACAGAGGCCTATATTTTCATAACAAAGATCAGAAGTGAGATAACCAGATTTTTAGCTAAGTTTCTTGGCCTGTGCCAATTGAGTATCTCAGGCAATGTCTGCTACGTCTAGCCACTGAGCTACCAGTAACGTATGATTGTTAAATTCCTTGGATCCTATCTGGAGGCTGAGTTACTGAAATGCTACAGAGTGCTTCTGTAGGGAAAAGCTTTGTGTATGTCTATGGGACAATTCATCTGCCCCCCTGCTGCAGGTCAGAAAGGTATGATAATTTTATCACACCTTAATGAAAACAGAAAATAGCCAAATAGTTTATATTATATATTTCACTGCAATTACTTTTCAATTGGTTTTTAAATTCTCAGTGAGTGAACTACTTTTAACATAATTTTGTGTTCAGGCAGCATTTAATTTTTAAAAACTCTTTAAAAGTTTCCTAGAACTAGAATGAAGAAGGCTTCCTGAAGCACACCTAGAAAACTTTTTGCACAGGTGTGTGTGAGACTGAGGACTGTGTTGATTGAGTCAACACAACAATGTTCAGTACTGCAAACTGTGGATGCTGTTGACCTCAGAACACCTGACAGAGGTACTTACGGTATTAACACTTCTCTCAGCAGAAAAATACAATTTCACTGGCTCTCCTAGGAGCTTCCTACTCGAGAGGATTACACTACTTTTTACTATTACCTTGCTCAGGGACAAAGTGAGAACCTGCCCTGCAACCTTGCCTAGTGGTCTGATGTCAGGAAATGTTGCCCTACCTGTTCCAAGGGGCTGGCTGGACTCAGCAGAGGGTGCACTTTCCGGTGCTGAATGAGGTTGCATTGATAAATGAAGTTCTTGCCACATTCTTCACATTCGTAAGGCCTCTCCCCAGAGTGAATCCTTTGATGCTTACTGAGGACGGAGCGTCGACTAAAGCTCTTACTGCACTGACCACACTGGAAGGGCTTCTCCCCCGTGTGGATCCGGAGGTGATGGAAAAGCCCCGCATTCTGGCTGAAAGCTTTGCCACAGATGCTGCACTGGTAGCGCTTCTCCCCAGTGTGGAGTCTCTGGTGCTGAAACAGGCCTGACCGCTGCCCAAAGGCCCGTCCACACTCCTCGCACTCGTAGGGCTTCTCGCCTGTGTGTGTTCTCTGGTGCTCGATAAGGATGGAATTCTGGGTGAAGCTCTTCCCACATTCACCACAGATATAGGGTCTCTCCACTGAAGAGCTCACCCGCTGCCTTTCCAATCTGCCCTCATGGTCACAGGTGTCTCCACATTCAGGCGTCTGAATAATATCACCATTCGATTTTTCAGGTGCTTCCACAAGAGATTTCATTTCTTTAGAAAGCTCCCTCTTTGGGGCTAACTCCACATTCCAAGTCCCAGCCCCATCACCTGAAATAATAAGTAGATCACATGAATGTTGTTTCCAAAGGAAAATGGGAAAAACCAGCCAGGAGAGTAGGTGGCAGGAGACAAATAACCATGGTTTCTGTTTACTGTCCCTGGGTAAACAATGATGCCCAGTCCCCAGGGAGAAAACTCACGGAACCATAACTGCTGTGACTGTCTGCCTCTCCCGCCAGGCTGCAGACTTCCTGAGGGCAAGGAGCATGTCTCCCCTGCCTGTCACAGTATCCCTAAAACCAAGCACACTGCCTGGCACACAGCAGACATGGAACAGAGGTGCTGAACTGATAGACACTCGGGGAGTGAGGAAGGCCTCCTGAGGAAACTCTAATCCTCACCGATCTCCTGAACCGGGCACATCTCTCGAGAATTGCACTGATGCAGCTCTTCCAAGGTTTGGAGCCGGCCACCTGACAACTCGTGGGCTGTTCCCCGGGATGCTTTCTCCTTCACAAACTCTCCCTGTTCACAGACATAGGTTGGGACCTGATGGAAATTAAGGACAGTTAGGAATCAAATATCAGAGAAGACACTGTAAGGGAGCCATCTCAGGTCCACTGCACAGGAAAGGAAGGACCAAGAAACTGGCAAAGAGGAAAAGGCAGAGAGATAGAGAACCCACAATACACCCCATCAGGAACAAAGAAATCCTCCTCTTCCTCTTGCTGCACTGAAACCCACACTCTCCCTGTAGGTACAAACCTCTGTTTTCCTATCTTCCACCTGTTCTCCTGGCTCATCCAGCTCCCTCTCCAGGTCCTCCAGCACGGCCACCACCTCATCCCCGCTCTCAGGGTGCTGCTCCCGCACCCAGGCCTGGAGCTCCTCAGGCAGGATGGTCAGGAACTGCTCCAGCACCAGCAGCTCCAGGATCTGCTCCTTGCTGTGGGTCTCGGGGCGCAGCCAGTGTCGGCACAGCTCCTGGAGCCGGGTGAGGGCCTCTCGGGGCCCAGGGGTCTCCTGGTAGCAGAACTGCCTGAAGCGTCTACGGAAGATCTCTCTTGTATGAGGGTTATCCCCCTCTTGTTCTTCTACCTTTACTGCCAGATGTCCCTCCTGCATCTCTGGAGTCTGAAGGGCCAAGGCTGTGGCCATTTTAGGCTTAACTATTCAGGAAAAGAGTCTATGCTCGATGATGCCTTTTTGATCTTTTCTCCTAGAAATCCCAAAATCTATAAAGTAATTGCAGAGAAAAAAAAATATTAAAATATAGAAAATATTTTCTGCTGGCAGGCACAGGGAGTACTTGTACCAAAAGCAGTCACTGTCTAGTGAAAAACTCTGAATGCACGAGTAACGGTAAGGACTACAAAAATTCTGATGCAGGTGATATGGGAAGGGAAATAGAACACCCACCCTATCCCAACAGACAGACAGACACACACACACACACAGAGTTTTATTGAAGGAAGGGACCATTCTGATCATCATGAATGAATCAGCTCAAACAAATCGGCGGGAACATACTAGGTTTCCATTTGAATGGCAAGATACTGGACTCGGAGTTAAGTTTTCAGTTGGAGGTAAACCAACGTTTTGGTGCCAAGGGGTCACAGAGGACACTAAGAATAGGAGCAAAGGGAGAGAGAAAGCAAAAAAAGATAAAAAGACAGAATGAGGAGAAAGGCTCCATCCTTGCAGGTGGGGTGTGGAGGAGCGAGGTCTGTGTGGGGTGGGAGAAATCCAGATGGAGACCTGGTCCTCCAGGCACAACCTCTGCTGACCTATCTTTGTAGGTGGATATAGAGATCTTTTTTTTTTTTAATTTTTATTTATTTATGATAGTCACAGAGAGACAGAGAGAGAGGCAGAGACACAGGCAGAGGGAGAAGCAGGCTCCATGCACCGGGAGCCCGACGTGGGATTCGATCCCGGATCTCCAGGATCGTGCCCTGGGCCAAAGGCAGGCGCCAAACCGCTGCGCCACCCAGGGATCCCTGGATATAGAGATCAAGTAAGACCATGGATAAAGAGCACAAGAAGCTGGGAGCTTGAGATATTCTCAAGTATTATAAATTACCAATATTATTATTTTCCTTATAAATGTTGTTGAAAGATTTAATGAATCCTAGTGGTCAAAACATTATGGTAAAAAAATGCTCTTGAACTGCTCTTGACTCAGAGATATTAAAATGAAAGAAATATTGGTTCTGATATTTTAAAACAGAGGTAGAGTTTGAGCTGTTTCTTGTTCTTTAATTTTCTGAAAACTGTTTTCTCTTTGAATATTGAGGATGGAGGATGGCAACCGTGTGTAAAAGAAAATCAGAGCACGTAGAGAGACAAATGTCTATGACCACGTAAAACTTATGGTAAAATCTTAACCATGAGAGTAATTAATGAAAGCAATTTTCTGAAAGAATATTATATAAACCAAGTGATTTCAAAGGATCATGTTTTGGCAGAGGCTTTCAAACTTTTTTGACCAGGACTCTCAGAAATATTTTATATAGAAACAAAAAATTTTTACATTGAGACCCAGAGCATGTATGTATACATGCACAGGAATGCATGTTTGCACATGAGTGAGGTACCACACACACAAATAGCTAAAATAATAATTTCACAAAACACTATGTATCCTGAATTACATATATATACTATTATTTTTTAAATTCTTTTTTGAAACCCCAAAACAAAAAACCCTGCTCACAGCTGACCACATAGATTTCACGATCCAGAAGTCATGATATACAGCTTAAAAAAGTTTCCACATTTAAGTAAAATTATTAAAATTCACTGTAAATACTGGGGCAACTGGGTGACACAGTCAGTTAAGCATCCAACCGTTGGTTTCAGCTCAGGTCCTGATCTCAGAGTCCTGGGATCCGGCCCTGCATTGGGCTTCAAACTCAGCAGGGAGTCTGCTTGAGATTCTCTCTTCCTGTGCTTCCCCAAACCCCCTCCTCTCTCATATAAACAAATCTTTAAAATATATATGTGTGTGTGTGTGTGTGTGTGTGTATCCCAACACTATTCTTAGGCATTGGCATGCATCACAAAATAAAAAAACTAGGAGTGGGGTGGGGGGGTGGCGGGTGGAGGGCTGCCCGGGTGGCGCAGCAGTTTAGCGCCACCTGCAGCCCAGAGCATGATCCTGGAGACCCAGGATCGAATCCCAAGTCAGGCTCTTTGCATGGAGCCTGCTTCTCCCTCTGCCTGTGTCTCTGCTTCTCTCTCGCTCTGTGTCTCTATGAATAAATAAAAAATCTTTAAAAAAAACTAGAAGCATATTTAAATTACAACTAAATACAGGTCACACTACAACCACAAAGTTAAATCTATAATGCCATTTTTAGTTATATTTAATCTGCAAACATAATCCTCCTCCACAAATTTCTGACAGTTCTGGCTTCATTGATAGTCATGACCCTAGCACATCTTAGCTCCTTTTCGAACCCAGTGCCTCTAAAATGCTTCCCAAATGTTTTATAACCCTAGCCTCCCAGTCACAAACATATAGTTTTTAATATTGTTTAGGTTCACCACCCCATTGTACAGGTCTTCCTTGACTTACAATGGGGTTATGTCCTCATAAACCCATCAAAGTTGAAAATATCACAAGTTGAAAATGCACTGAATACACTTAACCTACCAAACATCATAGCTTAGCCTCACCTACAGTAAATGTGTTCAGAACACTTACATTAGCCTACAATTGGGCAAAATCATCTAACACATATCCTATTTGGTAATTAAATGTTGAAAATCTCATGTAGTTTATTGAATATTGTACTGAAAGTGAAAACCAGAATGGTTGTACAGGTACAGAATAGTTTTAAGTCTATCAGTTGTTTCTTGTAAACAACTTGAGAAGATCAAAACTCAAAATTTGAAGTAGCATTGAACATCTATCACTTTCCATCATTGTTACGTTGAAAAATCATCCTACATCATTGGGGCCTCGGAAACAGGTCAGGAATATAATTAGCATAATAATCTCTCACAGTTAAAAAAGAAACACATCAGCATTTTATTTTATTTTTACATCAGCATTTTATTTATTTTTTATTTTTTTTAAGATTTTATTTATTTATTCATGATAGACACACACAGAGAGAGAGGCAGAGACACAGGCAGAGGGAGGAGCAGGCTCCATGCAAGAAGTCTGACGTGGGACTCGATCCTGGGACCAGGATCACACCCTAGGCAGAAGGCAGGGACTTAAACCGCTGAGCCACTCAGGCTGCCCTACATCAGCATTTTAAAGCTAGTTTTTCCTAGAGCCTCAGCAAGATCAATACCTCAAAATCTACCATGACTCTCAGAGAGAAATGTTCTTTACCAACAGGCATAGAGGTTAAGACAAAGCAGCATGCAATACAAATGTCTCTATCATAATGCCTCCCCACACTTCTCCCTCTGATGTCACCATCAAAGGCCCCCACCACTTGTTGGACACATCCCCGTACTCTCCCCTCTGATGTCACCATCCAAGGCCCCCACCACTTACTGAACACATGCCCACACTCTCCCTTCTGATGTCATCATCCAAGGTTCTACCACTTACTGGACTCATCCCCACACTTCTCCCTCTGATGTCACCATCCAAGGCCCCCACTACTTACTGGACACATGCTACACTCTTCCCTCTGTCACCTTCAAAGGCTCCCACTACTTACTGGACACATCCACACACTCTCCCCTCTGATGTCACCATCCAATGCTCCCACTTCTTACAAGATGCAATCCCACACTCCAATGTCACCAGCCAATGTGCCCAGTAACTACAGGACGCATGCCCACATTCCCCCCATGATGTCACCATCCAAGGTCCCCACCACTTACTGGATTCATCCCCACACTCCTCTCTCTGTCACCATCTGAGACCGCCCGCTACTTACCGGACATATCCTCAAACCCTCAAGCTTGGTTTAAGACCAGTCACAGCTCTAGCTCAATTGTTGGGCCACATTCTTGTTTACTCTATTCCACATGCAAAAACTGCCAACTCCATTTAGGCTTTCCTTCTCACTGTTCTTTAATCAGGCCTTCCTCTTCCCTGTTCCATGTCTGTGGTCTTACTTTCTGTACTTATTCAAACCCTATCCAAACTCAGCACATTGATCTGACTCTCAAATCCTCTGAGGTCTTCCCCATGCACTACAGTCCATCCCCTCCTCCTCCCAGCTCTTCTATTATGAACCTTTTCTTTTCCCTCAAGTCACTATCTTGCAGTTATTTCTCATATTAAAAAAAAATCCAGAATGTACAGAATAAATTCCTTCATCAAACTCTACTCTCCAGAAGTAGATACTGTTAGATAAGAATGGACCCTTTGGACTTTCTCTTCAATCTCAGAGGTGTGAATGTGTGCGTGTACACACACACACACACACACACACACACACACACACCTCTTATGTTTCCTGTTTATCTGCAGTAAGTAGAAGGTAGTATGAGGTAGCAGATCTAGTTATGAATCCTGACTTATGAACAATGTGATTCCAGGCAAGTTTCCTGATGGATTTTTCTGACCTTCAATCTCTCTTACAAAATGAGGACAACTACTTTGTAAAGTTGTGCAAGAGTATTAAATGAGATAATGCATATAAAAGGATTTTGCACAAAACCTGGCACTTAATAAGCTTCAAATCAACTACCTTCTAAAGAGATAATGTACAATTTTTGGTTTAAGGTGGCTTAATCAATAGCTGCTACCTACCCTAGCAGCCAAGACTGTAATGTTTTCTACTTCCCAAAGCACAGCATGGGTATGTGGGTGGCGAAATGTGGGTACCACACAGGTGAACACACAAATGAAATCGCTGTTTCATCAAGTTTGCAGAAATATTCTGCAAGACATTCAAGTCTTCAGATCTATTCTTCTGCAATTTTAAATCCTAGCTAGAAGACTAGGTCTCCTGAGGTCCAAAAGGTGCAGGATCAGATTCAAACAAGAGAAGTAACCTCCTGGGTTGTGGCTGGAAAGCTAATCCAGAAAGAGGGCAGAATCAACAGAGAGAGCAAAAGGTCTAAGAAAACAGACCCTGGTGCCAGACAGCCTGGATTTGCAAGCTGACTACAGCCCTGACCAGTTACACGACCCTAGCAAAGTTACTTGACCTGATTTTCTTTCTCGATATTAAAAAGGGGGCAGGGGGGCTTACATTATAGCAGTGCCTACCTCCTAGAGTTATGGGAAGTGAATATGTTAATACGTGTGCTTTCAACAATGCCTACCTGGAACATAATAACTGCTATTTAAAGTCGCAAAAAAACAAAAACAAAAACAGAAGGCAAGAGCCTGCGCCGGCTGTGAGCCAAACCACGAGAGGCTGCGGCACAGGATGAAACGACCCCTGCTCCTTGCTTCAAGCAAGTCCCCAGCAGAGACTGGCGGCCGCGGGAAAACACAAACACGTCCTACGACACGCACAGGGAGGGCGCGAAGCGGCCCGGGAACCAGGTCAGCGAGCGAATTAGGTCAGCGAACGGGTGGACGAGCTGGAAAGAGACAGAGGGGAGGGGCCGGGGCGAGGAGTGAGGGTCCAGGGGCCGCCGCCGCCGCCGCCCTGCCCGCCGGGACCCCTCGGCCCCCCGCCTCACACCCCCAGCCCCGCCGCTCCCGAGGCCCTGGCGCAGCCGGACTTCGAAGCTCACCGGGCATCCGTGGGAGGAGAGGCCCTCGGCCAGACGGCTCCACCTCCGAGTCCTTGACCACCGTAGCCCACGCAGCGAACGGCGGCAGTCCCGAGGTGCTTCGCGCGGCCCGTCTCCCGGGGACAGCGGTTCCGGCCGCGTTCGCTCTAGCAAGCTCGGAGGTCTCGCGCCTCTGTGGTCGCCTCGCGGAGCCCCCTCTCCAGGTGGAGCGAGGGCCTGGGTGGCGTGGAGCCCCCCAGGCGGGCAAATGTAGTAACAGCCGACTTAGTGTTTTAAACACGTTAACTCATTCATTCTAAATAGCAACCCTGTAAGTTAGGTACAGTAATCCCCATTTAACAGAAGAGGAAACTCACCCGCATTACTTGCTTGTAGGCCCTATCAATAATTCTTATTTTCTTTAGGATTTTATAGAATGTCTCCAATTCAAATACAAAAACATAGAGTACTTAATTTGAATGAATTCTTTCTTTTTATAGTTATGTTATAAACTTGGTATACAGTTAGGATCATTTCTTTCTGTTTGTTTTTCTGTTTCAGGGTTTATTTTCCTTTCATCCCTTTTCATTTCCTTTCTGAACATGCAAAACACTTAATTCAAAATCTAAACGATATAAAAGGATATAACCAAAGTTTTGCCTCTATCCCTAACTCCTTTACTCCATATACAGTGGACCCTTTAATAAGATGGGTTTGAACTGTGTGCATTCACTTATACACAGATTTTTTCAATAAATACAATAGAGTTCTATAAATGTATTTTCTTAATGATTTTTCTCAGTTTACTGTACTATAAGAATACAGTATATTATACATATAACATACAAAGTGTGTGTGAATCTAATTATGTTATCAGTAAGACTTCAGTCAATAGTAGGCTACTAGTAGTTAAATTTTGAGGGAGTCAATATGTGCGTTTTTTACTGCATTGGGGTCAGTTCTCCAACCCCTGCATTGTTCAAGGGTCAACTGTGTACACCCCATTTCCAGTAGTTTTAACTTATCCTGTCTTTCCTTCCTCTTTCCCTTCTCCTCTACTCTCCCTTACAAAGATAAGCACTTACCTTCTTTCCGTCTTAAACTATCATATTGTTTTGTACCTTGCTTTATCACTTACTAAAATAACCTGGAAATTATCTGTTCAATGAAATATCCCTCTTTGATTTTTTTTACAGTGTCATAGTACTCTATCATGTAACTGTACCATAATTTTTCCAGCCAGTCTGTGAGGGATGGGTATTTGGATTGTTTCCAACATTTTGTTTTAATAAATAATGCTGAGGTGAACAACGAAGAGAGAGGAGAGAGAAAGGGAGGTATCTTTGTAAACATATTATTTTGCACTCTCAACAGCAAAGTGTGAGAGTGCTTGTTTTCACATAACCTCCCCAACTGTATGTTTTCAAACTTTTGAATTTTATCAATATGGAGGTCATTAAGTATTTATTTTTTTAAAAGATTTATTTATTCATGATAGACATAGAGATAGAGGCAGAGACACAGGAGGAGGGAGAAGCAGGCTCTATGCCAGGAACCCGATGTCGGACTCGATCCCGGGGCTCCAGGATCGCACCCTGGGCCAAAGGCAGGCGCTAAAGGGCTGAGCCACCCAGGGATCCCTCATTAAGTATTTCTTTAGCAACCACAACTCCAATGCTGAAATCCCTGTTAAAAATGAATTCATAGTGTACTCCAAAAACTATAAAACATTAATGGAAGAAATTGAAGATATCCCACGCTCATGAATTGGAAAAACCTATATTGTTAAAATGTCCATACTACCCAAAGCAATCTATTGATTTAATGAAATCTCTGTCAAAATACCAACAATATTTTTCATAGAACTAGAACAAATAATACTAACATTTTTATGGAACCACAAAAGACCTTGAATAGCCAAAGCAATCTTGAAAAAGAACAAAGATGGAGGTATCATAATCCATGATTTCAAGTTTGTATAACTACAAACTTCTAGTAATCAAAACAGTATTGTACTGGCATAAAATTAGACCTATAGATCAATGGAACAGAAAGGAAAACCCAGAAATAAACCCACACATATGTGGTCTATTAATCTTTGACAAAAATATACAACAGGGAAAAGACAATGTCTTCAATGAATGGTGCTGGGAAAACTGTACAGCTACATGCAAAAGAATGAAACTGGACCACTTTCTTACACCATACACAAAAATAAACTAATGGATTAAAGACCTAAATGTGAGACCTGATACTGTAAAACTCCTAGGAGAAAACATAGGCAGTAATTTCTTGACATTGACCCAGCAACATTTTTCTAGATACATATCCTTAGGCAAGGGAAACAAAAGCAAAATTAAACTATTAAGGCTACACCAAAATAAACAACTTTTGCACAGCAAAGAAAAATATCGATCAAATAGCACGGCGAAATACTGAATGAGATTGGGAAAAGATATTTTCAAGTGACATATTCAATAAGGAGTTAATATCCAAAATATAGAATTTATACAACTCAGCACCAAAGAGCCCCAAATAATCCAATTAAAAAATGGGCAGAAGACACAAACAGACATTTTTCCACAGAAGACATACAGATCACCAACAGACACACAAAAAGATGCTCAACATTACTAATCACCAGGAAAATGCAAATCAAAACCACAATATCACTTCACACTTGTCAGAATGGCCAAGACCAAGAAGACAAGAAATAACAAGTGTTGGCAACGTGGTCTCCATGCACAGTCAGAGGGAATGTAAAATTGGTGTCACCACTTTTGAAAAAATTGTATGGAAGTTCCTCAAAAAATTAATAGAGTTACCTTATGATCCAGTAAATGCACTATTGGATATCTGCCCAAAGAAAACAAAAACATTAATTTAAAAAGATATATGTACCCTATGTTTATTGCAGCATTATTTACTATAACCAAGATATGGAAGCAACCTAGTATCCATCCATGGATATAAGAAAAAATGGATTCACAATGCCATATGTTAGCAAGGATTATGGAGCAATGAGAACTTTCATATGCTGTTGATAAGAGTGTACATTAGTATTATTATTTGGGGGAAACTTTTGGGCATATCCACTAAAGCTGAACACATGCATAGTCCATGACCCAGGAATTTCACTTTCAGAGATAGCCACCAGAAATGAATATATATTTGCATCTAAAGGCATGACTGAGCAGCATTTTAACAGCTTTAAAATTGAAACAACCCAAACATCCATTAACAGCTGAATACATACAAAAGTTTAAGTTTATTCATACAATAGAATACTATGCAACAATTAAAAGGAATGAACTACTGCTATAAGCCACAGCGATAATTTTCACAAAAATAATAGTGAAAGAAGGCAGACACAAAAAGATACATATTTCATGACTCCGTTTACATAAAGTTCAAACAGGGAAAGCTAATATCTGGTGTTAGAAGTCATAACAGGAAGGGTGGATGGAGCACAAATGGGTCTTCTGGGGAACTGGTAATGTTCTCTTTCTTGACTTTGGTGATGGCTATGTGGGTAGTTTCATTTTATGAATTTCATTTACCTGTACACTTATATTTTCAAATATAGGTTTATGTCAATAAAAAGGCTTTGTGTGTGTTTTTAATTTTAATTTTATTTTTTAAAAGATTTTATTTACCTATTCATGAGACACAGAGAAGGGCAGAGACATAGGCAGAGGCAGAAGCAGGCTCCCTGCGGGGACTTCCTGATATGGGACTTCATCTCAGGATCATGCACTGAGTCAAAGGCAAATGCTCAACCACTGAGCCACCCAGGTCCCCCTGTGGGTGTTTTAAATTCAAACCGTTTTACAGTTGAAGAAATCAACTTTCAGAGAAGTGAAGTATGTTGCTGAGGTCAGCACAGCTAGGACTTAAATCCAGGTTTCCAGATAAGGTAGCTTCCTTGACTCTGAAAAATCCTTTAGCTAGTAATCTTTACATATGGGTCTTAAATGGGCCATTACTTTTGTTGCAAGTTTAACACAGTGTCCATTAGGCAAAAATACAATTGTTAGTAATACTTAGATACATATATATGATAATCTTCATACTCAGTTATTCCACAAATGCTTCCCAAGTAGAGGTGGAGATATATAAAGTCTAAAATGACCTAAAATTATTATACCAGCCGTAAGGTGATTATATAGAAATATGGAATGTTTTCTTTAAATAGGGGTTATGGATAGAACAGTTCAGAAAAATTTGAAACACATTATCTAAAATTATGTTCTCTCTCTCTCTCTCTATATATATATATATATATATTTGTTAGATATATATCTCTATATATATTTGTTTACTATATGTAAACAAATCAATATATAAATAAATAAATGTGTAAACAAATGAATAAATAAATAAATAAATATATATCTCCAAATAGTGTAAATAAATGAAAATAATTCTCAAATTAGGGAGGTAGGAATCTAGAGGAATTTTTTTCTTTAAAAATATCCTTTATTGGGGTGCCTGGTGGCTCAGTTAGTTAAGCATCTGCCTTGGGCCCAGGTCATGATCTCAGGGTCCTGGGATCGAGTCCCTTTCAGGCTCCCTGCTCAGGAGTCTGCTTGTTTCTCCCTCTGCCTCCAACGCACTCATGTTCAATCTCTCTCTCTCAAATTAAAAAAAAAAAAAAAAACCCTTAAAAATATATCCTTTATTACTAAGTTAAAATGGATTTGGGGGGATCCCTGGGTGGCGCAGTGGTTTGGCTCCTGCCTTTGGCCCAGGGCCCGATCCTGGAGACCCGGGATCGAATCCCACGTCGGGTTCCTGGTGCATGGAGCCTGCTTCTCCCTCTGCCTGTGTCTCTGCCTCTCTCTCTCTCTCTCTCTCTCTCTCTCACTGTGTGCCTATCATAAATAAATTAAAAAAAAATGGATTTGGGCTGTATTTTTCCCCAAGTCTTTTTAATAACATTAAAAGAAGCCTGGTAGGGACGCCTGGGTGGCTCAGTGGTATCAGCGGTAGAGCATCTGCCTTTGGCTCAGGATGCCTTTGGCCCAGGATGCGATCCTGGAGTCCCAGGATCGAGTCCCACATCGGGCTTCCTGCAGGGAGCCTGCTTCTCCCTCTCCC